CAAATATTTAAAGAACAATTAATGTCAATACTACATACATTATTTGGGAAAATAAGCAAAGCAATCCTACCAAATTCCTTTCACTACACAAATATGGTGCTGATACCTAAACCAGGAAGAACAAAAACAGAGAAAGAAAACTATGGACCAATTTCCCTAATGAATATTGATGCAAAAATTTTAAATAAAATGCTAGCAAGGATATTATAGCAATATATCACAAGGATCATACACTGTGATGAGGTGGGATTTATACCAGGAATGCAGGGATGGTTTAGTATTAGGAAAACTATCACCATAATGGACCATATCAATAACAAAATGAATAGAAATCATATGATCATATCGATAGATGCAGAAAAAGTTTTTTTTTACAAAATACAACACCCATTCCTTAAAATGATAGGAGCTTTCATTAAAATGATAAGTAGTTTCTATCTAAAACCATCGCTAAGTATTGTATGTAGTGGGAATAAGCTAGAAGCCTTTTCAGTAAGATAAGGGGTAAAACAAGGATGACCATCATAACCACTATTATTCAATATTGTATTAGAAATGTTAGCTACAGCAATAGAAAAAAAGAAATTGAAGGAATTAGAGTAGACAATGAGGAAACAAAATTATCTCTCTTTGCATACAATATGATGGGATACTTAAAAAGTCCTAGAGAATCAACTAAAAAACTAGTTGAAATCATTAAAAACTTTAGAAAAGTTGCAGGATATAAAATAAACCCACCCAAATCATCAGCGTTTCTACATATTACTAACAAAGTCCAGCAGCAAGAGACAGAAAGAGAAATTCCACTTAAAATAACCATAAGCAATATAAAATAATTGGGAGTCCAATTGCCAAGAGAAACCCAGCAATGGCACGAACACAATTACAAAACAACTTTTCACACAGTTAGATCTAAACAATTGGGAAAACATTTTAGTTGCTCATGGGTAGGCCAAGCCAATGTAATAAAAATGATAGTTCTACCTAAATTAATGTCCTTATTCAGTGCTATACCAAACCAGCAAAAAGTATTTAATAGAGTTAGAAAAAAACTATAAAACTCATCTGGAAGAACAAAATGCCAAGAATATCCGGGGTATCAATGGGGGGAAACAATGTGAAGGAAGGTGGCCTGGCCACGCCAGATCTCAAACCGTATTATAAAGCAGTAATCATCAAAACAATCTCGTACTGGCTGAGAAATAGAGTGGTATACACATCACACCTATCAGATTGGCCAATGTGACAAAACAGGAAAATGATCAAGGTTGGAGAGGATGTGGGAAAATTGGAACACTAACACATTGTTGGTGGAGTTGTGAACTGATCCAACCATTTTGGAGAACAATTTGGAACTATGCCCAAAGGGCGACAAAAATGTGCATACCCTTTGATCCAGCAATAGCACTTCTAGGGCTATATCCCAGAGAGATCAAACAAATGGGAAAAGGACCCACATGGACAAAAATATTCATAGCAGCTCTTTTTGTGGTGGCAAAGAATTGGAAATTGAGAGGATGCCCATCCATTGGGGAATGGCTGAGCAAGTTGTGGTATATGAATGTAATGGAATACTATTGTGCTATAAGAAATGATGAACAGGCTGACTTCAGAAAAACCTGGAAAGACTTGTATGGTCTGGTGCTGAGTGAAGTGAGCAGAACCCAGAGGACTTTGTATACAATAGCAGCCACGTTATGCAATGACTAAGAATGTTAAACTGAACCCTTCTCAGCATTACGAGGATCTAAGACATCTCCAGAGGCCTCGGGATGGAAAATGCTGTCCACATCCAAAGAAAGAACTCTGGAAGTCAAATTGCTATCACTTATTTTTACCTTAAGTTGAATTTTGTTTCATCTTTCTGATGGTTCCTCATATTGGTTTTAATTTTTACTTACAACTTCACTAATGTGAAAATATGTTTAATGGGTATGTAAATGTAAAGCCTATGTCGGATTGTGCACCGTCTTGGGGGGGGGGAGAGAAAAAGGGAGAAAAAATTTTCAACTCAAAAGCATATGGGAAAAAAATTTAAAAAAATAAAAGAAAATAAAAATAAAAAAGAAACATCAAAAAAAAAAAGAAATAGAGTGGTATATCACTGGATACACATTAGTAGATGACCATAATAATCTAGTATTTGATAAATCCAAAGACCCCAGCTTTTGGGACAAGAACTCACTATTTGACATAAACTGCTGGGAAAACTGGAAAAGGGAATGGCAGAAACTAGGGACAGACCAACATCTTACACCGAATATTAAGATAAGGTCCAAATGGGTATGTGAGTTAGACATAACAGCTGATACCATAAACAAATTAGAATAGCAAGGAATAATTTACCTGTCAGATCTATGGGGAAGGGAAAAAAATTATGACCAGACAAGAGATAGAGAGCATTATGAGATGTAAAATGGATGATTCTGATTATATCAAATGTAAAAGTTTTTGCATAAACCAAAGCAATGCAAACAAGATTAGAAGGAAAGCAAAAAGCTGTGAAATAATTTTTGCAAGTATCTCTGATAAAGGCCTCATTTCTCAAATATATCGAGAACTGAATCAAATGTGTAAGAATACAAGTCATTACAGGGGCAGCTAGGGACACTTAACACTTATTAGCTGGGTGAGCCTGGGCAAGTCACTTAACCCTGACTGCCCCACCAAAAAAAGAAAAAAAAAGAATACAAGTCATTCCCCAACTGTTAAAGGTTCAAAGGATATGAACAGGCAGTTTTCAGATGAAGAAAGCAAAACTATCTAGACATGTAAAAAATGCTCTAAATCACTATCAGTTAAAGAAATGCAAATTAAACCAACTCTGAGATACCACCTCACACCTATCAGATTGGCTAATACGACAGAAAAGGAAAACGATAAATGTTAGAGAAGATGTGGAGAAATTGAGACACGAAGGCACTGTTGGTGGAGTTGTGAACTGATCCAATTCTTCTGGAAAATAGTTTGGAATTGTGCCCAAAGTCTATAAAACTGTGCATACCCTTTGGTTCAGCAATACCACTACTAGGTCTTTATCCCAAAAAGACAAAAAAGAAGGGAGAAGGGAAGGACCTATTTGCACAAAAATATTTATAGCAGTTCTTTTTGTGGTGGCAAAGAACTGGAAATCAAAGGGATGTCCATGAATTGGAGAATGACTGAGCAAGTTGTGGCATGTGATTGTAATGAAATATTATTGTGCTGTAAGAAATGATGAGCAGGCAGATTTCAAAAACACCTGGAAAGACTTACATGAACTGATGCGAAGTGAAGTGAACAGAACACCAATATTGTACAACAATCAACTCTGAATGACCCAGCTATTCTTAGCAAAACAATAATTCAAGACAATTCCAAAGGACTTGTGATGAAAAATGCTGTCCATCTGCAGAGAAAGAACTGCTTGAATGCAGATTGAAGCATACTATTTCCACTTTGTGTGTGTGTGTGTGTGTGTGTGTGTGTATTTTATTTCTTTTTTGGTCTGTGTCTTCTTTCACAACATGACTAATATGGAAATATATTCTGCATGATCACACATGTATAACTATATTAAATTGCTAACCATCTCAGGGAGAGGTTAGCGATAAGGGAGGGAGAGAATTTGAAACTCAAATTATTTTTAAATGAATGCTAAAATTATATTTATGTGTAATTAGGAAAAATATTATTTAAAAAACAAACAAAAACATAGATATCTGGGTGAGGGAAGGGAGAGGTATATATTGGGTACATAAAGGTGATATAAAAACAACAACAAAAATAAACTGGCCATAACAAAAACAAATAAAATTTTTAAAAAAGATGGTCTAGAGTCAGAGGACTTGGTTTTGATTCTTTCTACTCACTCATTTACTAGCTAGGTTGGCCCAGTGGATACAGCTTCAGGCCAGGGATCAGGAAGACTGACCTTCCTGAGTTCAAATCTGACCTCCAATACTTACTAGCTATGTGACCCTGGGTAAGTCACCTCACCCTGTTTGTCTCAGTTTCCTCATCTGTAAAATAAGCTAGAGAAGGGAATGGCAAACTACTCCAGTATCTCTGCCAAGAAAACCCCAAATGGGGTCAGACACGACTGAAAAAGACTGAAGAAGAGCAGCTGGGCAAACGACAGGACTCTCAGAGACTCAGTTTCCTCAACTATAAAATGTGACCATAGGATCACAGAGCCAGAAGGGACCCCTAAAGATCATCCAGTCTAATCCACCTCATTTTACAGACAAGGAAACTGAGATCCAAAGAGGGAAGTGATTTTCAAGGTGGCACAATGGAATCACGGGGACCTGGGTTCAAATTCTGACTGCGCCACTCACCATTTCTGTGGCCTTAGGCAAATCAAAAGAGATAATCCAGAACCACTTTACAAATCTTAAAGCGCTGTGTGAACGCTGGCCATGATTTATAATTAACCTCCCCGAGGCTCAGTTTCCTCTTCTGTAAAAAGAGGGGATTTCATAGGATTTAGAGCTGGAAAGGAGCTTTAAGGCCACGTGCCAGACGTTCCCTCGGGCAGGGGCTACATTTAGCCAGGGGGTCTGTGAACCTGACAGCTGTATGTCAATATATCGTTTCCCTTGCACATCCGTTAATTTTATTTTGTGTACTTAAAGACATGATTCTGAGCAGGGGTCCCTAGACTACCAAAGGGGTCCATGGCCCCCAAACGGTGAGGAATCCCTGCTGTAAGGAAACCTGGGGTCCTAAAGGGAAGATGCTTTGTGCTCCCCCAATCCCACATTGAAATTCCTCTTCATCACCGCGGGGGGTGTCAAATCAGGAATTCAGTTCCTGCGCCTTTAACAGACAGGGCCGCAGGAGGTGTTTGGGAAGATCCGCTCCGCTGACGTCATGAAGGTCCCCACGTTCTTCAAGCGTGCTGATAATTTAGCGACGCTCCCTCAATGTCGCTTCCCTAAGGCGACGTGTCTGAAAACCGTTAGGCAGGATTTTGGCGACGCGCCCTAACGGCAGGGTAGGAACGCCGTGACGTCTCCAGGTACACATTCAAGATGGCGGCGGCTGAGGGGACGGCGGCGGCGGGGCCGACCGCGGCCCCGGCCCTGGAGCCCGCCTCGCCCCCCGGCGCCGGGGACGGCCCGGCCGTGGCGGCCACGGGGACCCTGGGCCTCACGGACCTGCCCGGGGAGCTACTGGAGCTGATCCTGTGCTGCCGCTCGCTGGGCGCCGCCGACCTGGGCCACGTCGCCTGCACCTGCCGGCGGCTGCGCGAGCTGTGCCAGGGCGGCGGCAACGTGTGGCGGCGGCAGTTCCGAGAGAGGTGAGCGAGGACCTCGGGCCAAGCCTCAGGCCGGGCCCCACCCAGCCCAAGCCCCGCCCCGCCCGCCGAGGCCACGCCCCCGTGGGGCACGCCCTCTCGCCACTGTGCTCCGGCCTGGGCGTCCCATTGGCCGGTCCCCTCATCAGCCCCGCCCGCTGGCGGCCCCACCCTGGCCCCGGCGCGGCCCCGCCCCCCCCGCCCCCTCTCCTCCAGTCAAGCCCTACCTTCCCCCCCGCCCCTCGCTGCCGGCTTGGTTGCCTGGGTTCCAGCAAGGCTAGCCCCGCCCCTCGCTGCAGGAGCTCCGAGGAGCCTGGGTGGGCGGCGCCCGTGGGCATCCTGGCCGGTGCCCATCCGTTCACCTATGCAGCCCAGCCCACTCGAGCTCCGGGGTACAAAGACACAAAGGCACGGGTCCTGTCCAGGCAACCAGCATTTATTAAGCGCCTACTGGAAGCCAGGCTCTGTTTGACATGAATGTTTGCATGTTGTGTCCCCCTTTAGACTGCCTGTGGGCAGGCAACGTCTTTTACCTTTCTTTGTATCCCCAGCGCTTAGTGCCAGGCACACAGGAAGCGATATTGACGAGCTGGTAGCTGGGGGTAAAAAAAAAAAGCCAGAACCCCCTACTCGCAAGCAGCATAATAATAACTAGCATTTATATAGCTCTTTAAGGCTTGCTTTAGGTATATTACCCCATATCACGACACTCTGGGAGGCAGGTGCTGTCATCATCATCATTATTGTTGCTTTCTTCCAGAAGTCAGGAAGACTTGAGTTCAAATGTAGCCTCAGAAATAACCCTGGGCAAGGCACTTAACCTCTACCTCAGTTTCCTCATCTGTAAAATGGGGATTACAATAACATCTACCTCCTAGGTTGTTGTGAGAATCACATTAGATAATAATTGTAAAGCTCTTAGCCCAGTGCCTAGAACATAGCAGGCACTATATAAATGTTAGCTAATATGGTCGTGAACCTTAGCTGTTACTTTACAGGTGAGGGAACTGAGGCAGGCAGAGGTTAAGTGATTTGCCTGGAGTCACACACTTTAAGCTATTTTTTTGAAAAGCACTTTACTTGTCATTTCATTAGATCTTAACAACTGGCATATATTACACCTGTATTATCTCTATATTACCTATGTTATCTATATGTATTATAATTATCTCTGTCACCTTTTTTTGTTGTTCAGTTGTTTCAATCGTACCTGATTCTTCATGACCCCATTTGGGGTTTTCTTGCCAAAGCCACTGGAGTGGTGTGCCATTTCCTTTTCTGGCTCATTTTACAGGTGAGGAAACTGAGGCAAACAGGGTTAAGTGACATGCTCAGGGTCACACAGCTGGGAAGTGTCTGAGGCTGATTTTGAACTTGTCTACTCCAGGCCTAGTTCTTGTCCACTGAGCGACTCTGGCTGCTTAATATTACCTATATATTATCTAATTTAATTGTCAAAATTAGCTGGGGTTTATATAGTGCTTTACATATGGTATCTCATTTAGTCCTCACTGCAGCCCTTTAGTGAGGTTTTAGGTTGGGGAGGTGCTGTTATTACTGCCATTTAACAAATGAGTAAACTGAGGCTGGGAGAGGCTTCCTGATGCCCAGGGTCACCCAGCTATAAATAAATGGCAGAGGTAGGATTGGGCGTCAGGTCTTCCTGACTTCCAAGTCTAGCCCTTGCTGCGCTGTTGCCACCTAGCTTTCTCTCTTTTATAGTGGAAAAAATACAAGGTTTGGTGTCAGAGGACCTGGGTTTGAATCGCAGCTTTGCTAGTGTCTGGCTGTGTGATTTGGGGCAAGTCACCAAACCTGAATTTCACTTTCTTCATCTGTAAAATGAGGGAGTTGAACCAAGTGACGTTTTCCTTCCGGCGCCAAGTCTGTCATCCTGTATTCTCTCAAACCCCATCCCCCCCAGCCCTGCTCCTCAGCCCTCAGCAGGTGGGCCCCTCTCCCTCAAGGATGAGGCTGGAGCCCACTAGGGCTGAATCTGGAGTCAAAGGAGCCGGTTTCAAACCCTGGCTCCGCTGTTTGCTTCCTGAATTTCACTGTCCTCATTTGTAAAATGAGAGGGTTGTGCCAGAAAACCTCAGGGTTTCCTTCTAGCTCTAAATCTCAGCTCCTGTGATTGCTCTTCAGCATTGCCCACCCCCATCTGGGCCCAGGTCCAAGAAGACCCCTCCATTCAGTCCCCCATGTACTGGCCCCCTCCCTCTACAAAGTTTGGTGGGGTGGCTCCCATGCTTTTCTGCTCTAGACCTGCCCCCTCCCCTAGGAGAGGCGAGAAGCTGCCCAGGCTAAGGGTGGGTGGTAGGTTGACTCCCTCAGCTCGTGCCTTATTCAGTTTCCCTTCTCCAGAGAACTTAGCCTTTCCCAGCATAAGCTTCCAATTTTGTCAAACGAGCTAGTGAAACTGGGTGATCTCGAACATCCCTTCCAGCTCTGAATCCATTTAAATCGAAGGAACATTTATTCAAGGGTTACTTTGTACAAAGGCACGTGCCAAGTGATGGGGAGCCAGGGACAAAGTGACAGCCCCACCCTCCAGAAGTGTATCGTGCTGGGCACACGCGCACACCAGATGCTGAGGATAGTAGCAAAGGAGACACCCACAGAGTGCTGTCGGAACATTTGGTTAGAGTGAGAGGGGTCACTGAGGGGGTGACATCTGAGTGGAGTACAGCATCCAGAGACCTGCTTTTTCCTATTCAAGGCCACCCATCATGTTTACTTTTACCTGTGCAATATTATTGGGCAGGGATTGCGGTTGATTTGCACTAGACTGTGGCATCTTTCCCAGGCATGGCCCTGATGGGCAAGACATGGGGAAGGAAGGGACTAGAAATGAGGGAGCTGGTGTAGTGGAAAGAACATTGACCTGAGTCAGGAGATCTGGCTCCGGTCCTAGCTCTGCCACCCACTGGCAGCTGGGGGAATGCCAGCTGGTCCCTTCCTCTCCATTTGCTCGTCTCTCCAGTAGTCCCTTCCAGCCCTGCCCCACCATGATCCTTGGAGAAACCTCAGCACTGATGGTCTGTCTTCCCTGCTAGCCTCACCTTTGCCCATGTGCCTTCCCTCCTCACCTCCAACATCATGATTCACAGATGAGTTTCATGCTTTTCCTAAGTATCATTTATTTGGTTACAATTTCTTTGTCTTCTGACTTCATTGACATTGAGAATGTCAGTATGGATGTGGTTCAGTTCTTCTAGCAGTGTGCCCACTCATTGGTCATTGGGCAGACATGGCATGTGGAGAAGATCAACAGCTTATTTAATTGACAGTCCAAGACCTGAGCTTCCTTTCATCATAAGCTCTTCTTTCCACCATCATCGTTACATAATGGAACACCATTACCGTTTCTTCATTTCATGGGTCACCATGTCTAAAGAACCAATGCCTCTGTGGCCAACCTGCTGGGAATGAGTCTTGTCCTTTACCTAATCTGGTCTTGAGATAACAACCACCATTGTCTGGCACCAGGACCTTCCATTTGTGCCGAACCTACGTGAGTTCGCCCAGTGCTTGTTGATTGCTACATTGGTTTGCTGAGTAGCCTTCAAGAATCTAGGAGACCTAGTAAATGAAAAAATTGTTCCTTTCTCTACTTTTCATAGTTCCTAGTTCCACATCTCTAAGTGCCTACCCGGCATTTCCACCAGGATGTCCTGCCAGCACCTCAAATTCAGTATGCCCAAAACTAAAAGAATCATCTCCCTCCAATCCTCCCCTGCCCTGCCCTGCCCTCACATACAAACGTCACCTATTTTTGTTGCTTAGTACAGCCACTTTCTCAGTCCTTGAGGCTCAGAATCTTTGGACCTTCCTTCTCCACCAACCACCAAAGTCCTTGGGATTCTCCCTATGTAGTACCTCTGTCCCCTTCTCTCCACTCGTACTGCCACCATCCCAATATAGACACCCATCGTCTCTCATCTGGACCATTGTAACATCCTCCTCCCTGGTTTCCTTTCTTCCTGTCCATCCTGCTTCTCAGGCCGTCTTTCCCAGATAGAAGAGTAGAAGCTGCCAAAGTGATATTCACAAGGCCTCGTTTCTGACCATGTCTACTGCCCTACTCAAAAACACCTTAGCCCTCCATAGTCTGGTTCCAACTAAGCTTTCCAAGATATGTTCACCTTTATCTTGTTGAGATACTGTGCATTCTGGCTTGGCTTTTCCCCAGACACACAGCTTGCAATCTCCCACCCCATACATTTATGCAGGAGACACAAATGCCTGACATAACCCCTTCTTTGTACTTGTCTTTAAGAATCCTCATCTTCCTGAGGCCCAGCTCAGCCGCTGTATACTCCATTCAAGGATTCTCTTCCTCAGTTTTTCCTGGATCTTTCCTTTGTCCCCAGCCCGCTGTCCCAATAAGGTAGGTACATTTACATCTCCCTAGGCCAGGGCTCCTTAAGCACTTTGATGGGATCATGGCAGTCTGGTGAAGTATATGGACCATTTCTCAGAATCATATTCTTAAATTCATAGAATAAGATCTGTACAAAGAAGCCAATTATATTGAAATATACTTATTAAAGTATTTTTAAAAAACCAGCCAGGTTCACAAGATCCAGATTAAGAACTCTTTTTGCCCTGGTAAAATTCAAGCTCCTCCAGGGTAGGAACTGCCATAAAAAAATTCTTAGTCCTTAAGACGCTGTACTGTAGCAGATGCTTAATGACTACTGACTGAATTCAGTCAAAAGCTTCTTTCCTGTGCACTGACCCTGCTTGTCCACAGCTTCCCTCCAAAAGGAGCTCCTCTTCTCATGTCTGACCACTCTCTAAGGCTTTGCCTGGCCCGCCTCCCATCTCTAGGTTTTCAGTTTCCAAAATATGCCCATCTTGTCTCTCTTCCCGCACACTGGAAGCCTCCCTAGGCCAGGGACAAGTCCAGTTGCATTTGCTAAAGCCGTTGTGTAATCTAATAATGCAGGCCTTGTCTTACAAATCTCTCCATGTTCACTGGCTCATTGTCTACTGCCTCCAAACATGCCCCCGTCTCTCCTATTCTGAAAACTCGCCCTTTCTCCTCCGGTGGCCTTTTCTTAGTCTCATTCTCCTTGACCTCTCTGCGGCCTCTGACACTGTAGATCACGCTCTTCTTTTGGATATTTTCTTTGCTAGTTTTTTGGGACACACCCCTCTACTGGTTCTCCTCCTCCCAGCCGACCGCTCCTTCTCAGTCTCTGCTGCCGGCTCCTGCCCCAGACCACACTGCCTAACCAAAGTTCTGTCCTAAACCCTCTTCTCTTCTGCCTTTATACCGCTTCACTTTGGTGATGATCCCATCAGCTCCATGGATTGAACTACTGTCTCTGTGCTGATGATTCTCAGATCTCCCTGTCCTGCCCCCACCTCTCAGCTGACCTCCAGTCTTGCATCTCCAGCTGCCTTTCGGAGGTTTCTGAACTGGACGTGCCCTATGTTCAGTGGGCATCTTAAACTCATCATATCCCAAACAGAACTCGTCGTCCCCGCCCCAAAACCATCCCCCTGCGCCTTCCTTCCCTATTACTGTTGAAGGCGTCGCCGTCCTCCCGTCCTTTAGGCTCACAACCCAGGAGTCCTCCTGGGCTCCTCACTCCCTCGCCCCATCCCCGTATCCAAACTGTTGAAGGCGTCGCCGTCCTCCCATCCTTTAGGCTCACAACCCAGGAGTCCTCTGGGCTCCTCACTCCCTCGCCCTCATCCCGTATCCAAACTGTTGAAGGCGTCGCCGTCCTCCCATCCTTTAGGCTCACAACCCAGGAGTCCTCCTGGGCTCCTCACTCCCTCGCCCCATCCCCGTATCCAAACTGTTGAAGGCGTCGCCGTCCTCCCATCCTTTAGGCTCACAACCCAGGAGTCCTCCTGGGCTCCTCACTCCCTCGCCCCATCCCCGTATCCAAACTGTTGCCAAGGCCTATTGATTTCACCTTGGCGCCATCTCTCAAATACACCCCCTTCTCTCCTCTGATACTGCCCCCACACAGGTACGGGCCTTGATCACCTCACACCTGGACTATGGCACCAGCGTGCTGGTCAGTCTGCCTGCCTCAAGTATCCGTTCAGCCCCTGAAGTGATTTTCCTAAAGGGCGAGTCTGATCGTGTTGCCTCACTCAGTAAACTGCAGTGGCTCCCTGTTGCCTCCAGGATCAAACACAAAATGTTCTGTTTGGCGTTCAAAGCCCTTCGTAACCTGCCCCCTGCCACCTTTCCAGTCTTCTCGCAACTTGCCCCAACATGTACTCTTCACTGCAGGCACACTGGCCTCCTGGCTGTTCCTCAAACGAGACACTCCATCTCTCAGCTCTGGGCGTTTTCTCTGGCCGTTTCCCACGCCTGGAACACTGTCTCTCCTCAGTTCTGACTCCCGATCTCCCTGACGTCCTTTCAGTACCAACCAAAATCTCACCTTCTACAGGCAAGCTTCCCAGAGCCCTCTTAATTCCAGGGCCTTCCCTCTGTTAATTGTTTCCCATTTATCCTGGATACAGCTTGTTTGTACATAGGTGTTTGTTGTCTCCCCATTCGATTGTAGATTCCTTGAGGGCAGGGACTTTTTTGCTTTTTTGTATCCCCATGGATTAATACAGTGCCTCGCATGTTGGCGGTGCTTAATAAATGTTTATTGAGTGATTGATAGGATAAAGACTGGTCACATTCTTGTTCTCTGAAGCCTCAGGATGGAGGGGGCGATGGGCTGCTTTATCCTGTGATGTCTTTGCCCCCAACCTGCCTGCTGCACATGCCCTGGAACTTCCAGATCCCCCTCTGAGGCAGCCGCTGAGTGCACATCTTTCTTTTGTAGGTGGCCCTCCCTCCTGAAGTACTACAGTCACACCGAGGGCGTCAACTGGCTGGAGGAGTACAAAGCTCGGCAGAGTGCTGGCTTGGAAGCCCGGAGGATGGTCGCCTCCTTCTCTAAGCGGTTCTTTTCGGAGCACGTAAGGACCTTGTGATACAGCCCTCATGTGTGCGTAGGGCCTGCCACTGCCTCTGGCTGCTCCTCGTGCCATCCAGGCCATCTCCATTCTGGGCCCCATGGGAAATCCAGCATGTGGTCGTCCAGTCTCTGCTGGGAGACCTCCTAGGGTGGGGAGGGGAGCCCACGGCCTTCCAAGACACCCCCATTTGGGTGCTTTGGGACAGGTTCTGTGATTAGGAATAATTCATTAAGCCTAAATTTGCTTCCAACTTCCTCTTGGTATCCCTGACTTTTTTTTTTTAATCAAGATACTTCTGTATTCTCATATATACAGGGGAAAAAAAAAGAGTAGACACCATTAAATGACAATGAAAACCATTAGCTTTAGGGGCAGCTAGGTGGCGCAGTGGATAGAGCCCTGGCCCTGAAGTCAGGAGGACCTGAGTTCAAATCTGGCCTCAGACACTTGACACTAACTGTGTGACTCTGGGCAAGTCAGTTAACCCCATTTGCCTCACAGAAAGAAAGGAAGAAAGAAAACCATTAGCTTTTAGTTCAGACAGATAAAAGGACAATAAATACTGCATAGTAGAGATAGCAATTTTTCCTCTTCTGGTTATTGAATGCTTCAGTGAAAAGAGAAAATATTATTAGCTCAGGTACTTTTTGGATGAAGAATCCAGTGGGATCAAGCCGAACAGATCCAGTCCCTTTTTCATAGGGCAGCCCTTCAAAGACTTTGAAAGATGGCTCTCCTATGTCCTTCCCTACACTTCCTTTCAGACAAGCTCCCCATTCTCTGTGCCTCGTGTGACATCATCTCCAGTCCCTGCAGTGAAAACGGTGCTGTAGATGTGGTCTGAGCAGGCAGTGGAGAGCAGGGGCCTGAACTCCCTCTCAGGATACACTGTCATTTTGGATTTTTCTTTGTTTCTCAGATTACCCTGGGCAAAGAATTCATCACCAAATAAGTTAGCCTGCTAAAAAAAATATATGTGTCTGTGTGTGATAGGTGGATGGAATTATATACATATATATATCTATGTGCATCTAGTTCAATGTATTCACATTGTATGTGTGTGTCCCCTGTCTCTTTTTAAAAAAGTAAATCTGTTTGATAACTTTTATGTTTCCAATCCCTAAATTTCCCCTATATCTCTTTCCTTTCCCTTCCCCTAAAATCTTTTCTCTGTAGATTTGGCCCCCATTCATTTAAAAACATTTTTTCAAAGATAAGATTCATTTGAGGGTTTTGGCTTACAAAAGTGATCATTCTTTGTTTAATTGTAACCTTATTGACACTCAACTCCTTTTTTTCTGACTTTGATTTGTCCTAATAAATAGAATTATTAAATTGGGCGTGGTTTCAAGATTCCTAATGAGGACATATACCATATGTATATGCGGATATTGAGCTGACTAGTCTTACAGACAGAAAAACCTGGGTTTGAATCCTGCCTCTGCCATTAGCTGTATGATGTTGGTCAAATCACTTTATAGTTGGTGTCTTAGGAAATTTTTTTAAGATTTGCCAAGCTATCGGTGGGTTGCAGGCTGTGTGGGTAGAGTGAAATCCCACACTGGGAATTCCTCAGAAATTACAAATCCTTTATGATTTCAAGATTCTTATAAAGGTTTGAAATAGAAAATAAAGTTAAGGGAGTTGTTTTATGGATAGCAGACATCTCACCGAGATATATCAGGACTGTACAAAGTTGTTTTAATAATGTAGCTTATATTACTTTATGCAGTATAACATTAGAGTATGTAGTTTATACACAAAATCAGTTTAACTGGAACTTTCCCTGAAATTAAAAAAACTCATAAGACTTATACTTATAAAAGCTCATTTTGTTCTAGTATTGTGGCAGTACCTAGCGCAGGGCCTTGTACATCATTGCAATTAATAAATGTGTCGATTTAGATGTCATTGACTGTTTTAGCTGCCGGTTTCCCTCTCTGCAGTCAGACAGCTATCCCCTGGACAGACAGCGGCCTGTTTTTATAGCTCACCATTCCCCATTTCCCCAGACCCCTCTGCGTAAGTGTTATTATATCTAAGGTGAGTGAATTAGCTTGAGAGTGGACCAGGGTTGGTGCTTTATTTGGCTAAAGCTCCTGCCCCAGCCTCACATTCTCAGTGTCTTTTTTTTTTCTCAAAGATTGACCTTTAATTTTTTGCTCTCTTTAAAAAGAATTTCTAAAGAGAGCGGCCACAGAAACTAAGTGCTATGAATCGGGAGTCTTTACTAGGGTCCAGCCTTGTGGGAGGCATGCTAACAGCACCCTAAAATAACTAGAGGCTAACATTTAAACCTTCACTTCTCTTTGAGGCTATGACTGACTCCTACATCATCATGGGCCTGGTGATTGTTCACCCTCCCAGCATGGCAGCACATGCCTGTTTTGATATTCCAAGATAAGAGAAAACCACCATGGCAGTCTCACCCGTATTAGTAAAAGTGAGGCAGCTTTGTTTTCAATAAAAAAAACTTCAGTTTTTGTGCTCATGCCAAAATCAGATTGTGGTTCAGTCCTGTTTCTCTGCATCTGTTCCTTTTCTAGGTCCCTTGTAATGGCTTCAGTGACATTGAAGACCTTGGGTGCCCAGGACACTTTTTTGAGGATGAACTGATGTCTATCCTTAATATGGAAGGAAGGTAAGTCAGCGGGATGACCCTTTTTATTTAAAAAGAGGCCCGGGGTGGGGGGGGGGGCGGCTAGGCAGCACAGTGGATAGAGCACCTGCCCTGGAGTCAGGGCAAATCCAGCCTCAGATACTTACTAACTGTGTGACCCTGGGCAAGTCATTTAATCCCAATTGCCTCTTTACAAAAAAAAAAAAGAGTAAAATCACAGAATTGGAAGTGACCTCAGAGTCCATTTAAACAGCTTACATGTGACCCATCCCAAATGAATGGTCAGTCAATGTTCACTTGAAGATTTGCAGGGAGGCAGAGAACACAGCAGAGGCAGCTCCCTCTCCTTTTGGGGACCCCTGGTTGTCAGATCGCTTTGTTTACCTTGAGCCTAACTCTGCCTCCCTTTGGCTTCATCCACTCTATCTAGTTTTGTCCCTGGCTGCAGACAGAACAAGTGTCCTCCCTCCTCTGTGGCAGCTCTTCAAATCCACTTCAGTTCAGGGAATGTCCATTAAATCCATGCTTGGGCAAGGCCTCGCCCTGCGTGCTGAGAACAGAGACAAAATGAGACGATCACTTGCCCTCGGGAAGTTTGTGATTTACAGTGGGGATACAACCCCCAGAACAGGCCATACGGGAGAGTTTCAGAAGGGTGAGGGCACCGACAACTGCTGTTAGGATCAGGAAAAGCATCACAGGCGCCCTCAGGTAGCCCTGGCAAGGTCAGGACTCTAAGAGGTGGAGGTGAGCGTCCCAGGCAGCCCAGGGACCATCAAGGTCAGGAACCAGCCAGGAGGCCAGACCACAAAGTGCAAGAAAGGGAGAGATGTGGAATAAACCTGGAAAGGAAAGTGGGAACCAGAGTCAGGGGTTTAGCTTTGAATGCCTCTGGGTATGTATTTTATCATAGCACTAACAGGCAGCCAGAGAAGCTTTTTGAGCAGCTATAAATTACCTTTCACTGTCATGGCTCCCTCTTGTGCTAATCCCGCTTCATCATTTGCCTCTCCACCCAACTATAGCCCCTACCTTCCAGAGGGCTGCAAGGATTTGCTGGCTTCTTGCCAGTCCTTAGTATCTGTGTTTCTTCTAAATTCTATAATGCAGCCCTTCCGCAACACTTTTCTTCTCCCAGTTAAACATCCTCAGTCCTGTTCAGAGTGTGACCCAGTCCTGTCCCACCCTGGTCACCCTCTGGATGCATTTCCCAAAACTAAACACAACACCCCTGGTACGACCAGACAGAGTAAGATAGAGCTGTCACCTCCCATTTCAGAAGTTTGTCAAGATCCAAGTTCTAGACTTGGGGACTTGTTGACATTGCAGCTCACTGAAGTCCCAGATTTTTGTTCATTTAACTGTGCCACCCCCATTTTGTATTTTGGAAGCTAATTGTTTTAAGCTAAGTATAAATTTTATATCTATATTTCTTTAAATTTAATCTTATTATATTCTACCCATCTATCTAGCCAATTGAGACTTTTTGGTAACTATCCAATGTGTCACCTCTCCTTCTCAGCTTTCTACCTTTGCCAGTTGGAGGTTTGCCATCTGTGACTTCCTCTAAGGCATCGACCAAAATGTCAGACCTCACACAGCCAAGCATAGATGGATCCCTGGAGCCCTCCATTGGAGCCCTCCATCCTTATTGTCAGATAACTGTTAATGTCCACACTTGGGTGTGGTTATTTAGTTAGGCCTGAGTCTGCCTTCCCAATACATTGAACCCACATTGTTCCATTATACCCTCAAGGTTAACATAGGAAGTTTGCTGAGATCAAGGGAAGCCATATCTTCAGCATTCCTCTATCAGTCTAATAACTTTCCAACAAGGAAACAAAGCTTTCTGGCATCACAGAGCATTGGTGAAGTCGTGTTTCACTGTTTTTAATGATCATGCCTTCCTTTGAAATATTTTGACAAGCCATCCCTTTAATCATCTAGAATTTGGTCAGGAATCTAAGTCAAGCTCACTGGCCTAGATTTTCCTGGTGTACCTTTTGTGGAAATTGTGGCATCTCTTCCCTCTTCCTTCTGCCCCTCTTCTATCTGCCACATTCTTTCAGAGGTCACTGATTGTGGTTCTGCCATCACAGCCCCCGTACAGTGGCCTGGGTTATCAGCTCCAACTAGACATTCCCTCTCTAGCTCATTCAGTTATCTCAAGTGTCAAGGTTTTGGCTCTGGGTTTTCCAATCCCAGGATTGTTCTCCTTGGTAAGGAAAGTGGACACAGAATAGGAGTTGAGTAGCTCTGCCTTCTTCCCATCCCCCATGATCATCATCCTCTACCTCGATTCATGGTCCTGGGCCAGCAGCCTCGAGGCTACATGTGGCCTTCTAGGTCCCTGGGTGCAGCCTTTTAACTGAGTCCAAGTTTTACCGGACAAATCCCCTTTTCTGTGAAGTTTGGATTCAGTCAGAGGGCTGCACTTCAGGACCTGGAGGGCCACACATGTCCTTGAGGCTGCAGGTTCCCCACCCCTAGTCCTGGGCAGTGGTTTTCAGGTGGGACAGACCTCGGAAGGTTCTCGGTCTCATGCGACTTGATGCTGTAGGAACCCAGCAGAGTTTCTTAGTGCTGGCTTTGGATGCCCCTCACCAGGCAGTCACCAACTACTACCCCTCACCTCTTCTTCCTGAGACATCCATCGCTCAGTGGCACCCATGGGCATCCTTCCTCTGTGCACAAGCAGCTGCTTTCTCCAAGGGCCCAGGTCATCCCTCTATGTAAAGAACCTCAGGCCGGCTACTTAGCTCCTAGTGTCTCATGGTCTTTCTTCACTTTCCTCTTCAATATCATGCAAGGTTTTCCTTCTGTCTCTAATTATTTTTGTTTTCACCTTGAAGCCCTTTAAAAAATATTTTACTGATTTTTAATAATCATTACTTTCTCCAGATCTCTTTTCCTCCCCCCACCTCCCACCTCCCGGTCACCATAGCCTCTTGTGCAACAAAACAAACTTTAAAACCACCATGTGGCCACCTCTGACAACATCCACTTCAGTATGCTGAGAGGAGGGAAAGGGGGTGGCACCCTCAGTCTTCTGGAGCCGAGATCGGTGTTTCCATTGATCGAGTCTTGATGTCTGTCAGTCTTCTTTTCCTTTCTGTTGTTATTATTATGTTGTCATTGCTTTACATTACTATTCCTTGGCCCTGCACTGTCCATACACGCCTCCTTGAAGCTTGGCCCTGCGTTGTCCACCGGAGCCCTCGTGAAGCTGTTCTTCCATGCTGTTTAAGGAACACTTCGTCCAATTCCCCTGTTTGCCTGGAGAGTAGGGACAAGTTCCTGGAAACTTTTTACTTCCTCTTGAAGGAGGAGAGCCAGCCTGCCCTTTGATAGTAGATAGATTTTTATTTGGCCACAGCAAAAGGATTAACATTGTACACACTGTGCAAGTCACGACAGAATTTCCTTCGCCTTCCATGAATGCCGGAAGGGAGATAACACCTGGTCCTCTGGTGTTGATAGCTCTTGTGGCCAACTTTATAGGCAAATTACCATTTGATATCCCTGGGCAAATACCTGATTTAGTTTTTTATGTCTGAAAGATTAATCCTAATAAATGAAATTAAAACATACCTCGATTTATGTTCTTGAAATGTTATGAAGTCTTGAATCATATAAATGTGTTAGTGGAGCTTAATGTGATCATATTAACACCCATTTCTTCAAAATTTACAAAGCACCTTCCTTACAACAAATCCCTAAAGTATCAGTAGTATAATTTTAATTGTCCTCATTTTACAAATAAGAAAACTGAGGGTCAGGAGGTGAAGTGACTCATTCCTTGTCATATGGTGTCAATTCCAGGTCTCCTTTTTATACTTCTTAGGGGAACCCTACAAACCATCCTGACTCTCAAAAAATGTATTATAAATTATTAAAATTTTTGACACAATTTTAGCTGACCTTCGGCACAGCTGTTGTGTCCTCTGATTTGACTTAGTTGGTCTTCTCTATTGCTTTGGGGATTTCTCTTAGGGAAACAGTGGTCAAGTTTTTACTTTGGTTCAGCAAATTGTAGGTGCCGTACTTGCTGAGGGGCAGCCTGTCTTCTTTCTACAGACATTTGACTGAGCAGGAGGAGAAAGGGCTTTCATTGCTTATTTCTCATCCTGTTTTGTAAATTGTTTTCCATGATAAAGATTCATTTTCAGGATGTTTAAAAGGATGAGTGGATTATGTGCTTCAGTGTGTTTATGAAAAGATTTCTTGCTCCAGAGTTGCTGGGATTTTACTGATGAAGGAGAAAAATATTTAGGATTTCCCTTTAGAATGGAATTGTCAGCCAACCATATTTGGGGCATGGGCCCCTTGGATAGCAGTCAGATGAAACCTGTGAATTATGCTTAGAATAATCTTCTGGGATTGCAAAGGAATCACCAAATAATTTACCCAAAAAGTTTTTTAAAGTTCATAGAACCCCTGCTTTAGAAAAACAATTTTGAAATTGCTAAAAACAAGGGCACACATTCGAATATCCAATAATGGGATATAATATGAGAGACTGTGGAGATGTTCTCATTCTAGACCTTGGCTAAAACAGAGGTCATACTGCTATTTCCATCCTGATTTCTCTTTAAAGTAAAAGTGCAATCACAGGCAATATTGTACAGACCTGAAAGCAAAAACCAATTTGTGTATCTTGGACCTAAAGAACACAAGATGGTTATAAGAAGAGATTGTTCTCTGCCTTCTGTTTCTAATCACTGGGGAGGAGGGAAGAGCCCCAGATCCTGTGTCACAGAAGGACGCTGACTTCATTTACTTATTTCCCTCGGGTCTCCTGATCTGGGGAACAAAAGCAGGAGGTAGAAGTGGTTTGAGTGAGTGGGCATGGGTTCAAGACAGTGCCAAAATATTTGAAAGTTCTTTACAAAGGATGCTGTGCCTTTTGTGATCTGCAGATTTCAATCCATCTGCATTGAGTGAGTTTTTAAGGCAAAGTGTTTGTCTAAGATGAGGTCCACATGCCAGCAGATATCCCAAAAGGCCCTGACACAGCCTCATACTAGCCTTCTGGGGCTGCCCCTGCATTGCCCTTAACATGATCAGTCACTATCTCTCATCACCTTTTCTCAGAAAAGTCTTCGTGCAGGCAGAGGAGTCTGAAAGTTGGAAGATTTATATTTTGCGCCTTCTTTGCCTGACTGATTTAATATATGTTACCTTGCCGATGTAAGAAGCACAACCGTGGCTAATGCTATCCCAGCCCTACCCGACTGTGGAGTTGTGAGAAGCAAGTGAGGTTGTACACAAGGGAATATTTTGATAATGGTCAACAGTTATCCAAATACAAGGTGGTGTTGATTGACTTGTAGGGTGATTTTTCCGAGACTTTTCTGTATATTTTTGGACCAAATAGTACCTATACTTGGTATGTTTAAAATGAAATGGAGCCTAAGCTTACCATTTGTTATGATGAACTTAATAAGAAGTGTCTTGAAATGAGTCTTTAAACATGATTCAGTCCTACTTTTTTTGTAAACTTGGATCCTTAGGAAAGCTCTGACCTGGAAATATTATGCCAAGAAGATTCTTTATTTCCTACGGCAACAAAAGATCCTGAAGAATCTGAAGGCATTTCTTCAGCGACCTGAGGACCATGAATCATTTCTAGAAGGTGTGTTTAAGGTGCTCCATGATTTCAAAGGATTTGCCACCAGAGTTGTTGCCAAGTTCAAAATTTCATTGCAAAAACCTGGTCTCTATTTGCCTGCCTGCTTTCTGCCCAATAGGTCTTTTAATGAGTGATTTCACTTTCTCTTCACCCATTTGGCCCCTGAATAGTGAGGATGCAGGGGTAGGAGCCAAGCAGAAATTGTGTGATCTTGTAGGAATGCTGCCCATAAGGCATGTTAGTGAAGGCAGGCTATTGACACTGCGTTTTGCATGTGGCGGACACTCAGAGCCAAAACACTTATTAATTGCTCCCTGGGGATCCTGCTTTCTGTTTGCAAAGCATTGTTAGCTATTCTTTTACTTAAGTAAAAGTGAATAAGACTTCTGCTTACTATCACTCTGAGAAGTTACGCCATGTAGTCATCCCTACCACTCTTCGAGTGAAAACCAAAGAGTTTGACTGCAAGGGGGTGGTGCGGGTGGGAGACAGCACAGGTCACGATAAAGAAGGCTGAGGTCAGTCCATATAGTTGGACTTTATTTTGTTTGAAGTACCATGCATTCTCATTCAGTTCGACAAACATTTGTAAGCACCTGCTATGTAGGAAGAGCTGTTTTAGCCCTGGTGATACAAAGATGAAAAAAACATGGTGCTTGCCCTCAAGTAGGTTATAGTCTACTGAGGGAAATGCAATATGTACACAGAGAGGTGCCCTACCATACTTTTGTGGTGGGGTAGAGGGAATAGAGACTTCCTTTGGAGAATTAGGAAAGGCTTCATAGGCACATAAGCGAATTCTTGAAGGGCAAAGAGGAAGGAGTGCATTCCAGATACTAAGGGAATGTTGCAAAGCCTCCCTCTTGAAGTGGCCCCTTGGGTTGGAAGGTAAGAGTGTATGAAAGGGGGGAAAAATGAGAGGAATGACTGCGAAAAGAGGCTGCAGCTGGCTATGGAGGGCCTTCAGCCCCGGGCTTGGGAGTTGATGTTTTATTCTAGAAGAAATAAGGAGCCACTGAAGATTTTTGAAATGGTTATACCAGTGTCTTTAGTTATTTTGACCGACTCTGCAAAGGATGTATTGGAAAAGAGGGACTGGAGACAAGGAGTCTTGTTCAGGATTCTTACCATAGACCAGGTCGGAGACATTGAACCTTCTACATACCATGAGTTTGAGAAAACATTTCTGAGCCCAGAGAACATAAGTTTGGGCTTATTTGGCCTTTTGGATTTTTACATGTCTCCTCTCACCATCAGATAATCATGAATTAATCTTATTGATAAAAGAAAACATGTTCTAATGAAAATTTTGGTAATTTTTTTCTATTTAGAAAAAGTTTTTTAATAGCATTACTCATCCTTATTAGTATAGTGTTGTGTGTCCCCACTTGTCACATGAAAGACTGCAGCTTTATTCCCCATTCGAGAGGCCCACAGAAGTTTATCTGAGTGTAGTGTGGTCCAGTGGCAAGAAGGCTGGCTTTGGAGTGAGAGGAGAACCAGGCATATCGTGGCTTTGCCACCTTCTATCTGGGTGACACTTCTCCCCTCTGGGGATTTGACTAGATGACCCCTAAGGTCCTTTGAGCTAAGATCCTATGATCATTTAAAACACATACTAACATCAGCTGTTGGCCTTCTGCTCCCTGTGAGTAGACACAGGCTTGTTTTAATTTTCTTGTTTCAGTCTTTGTATAACACAATGCCTGATACATACTAGGCACTTAATAAATCTTATTGACTTGATTTTTATGTTAAAATTAATTCCACATCCATAGTAGAAGAAGTTGTATCTCCAAATTTCTCAGCTTCCTACTTGAAATCATTAAATACTATGTAGTGTGTCATTTGAGGTTTCATCTTCTTTTAAAGAACTGCTTGTGTTAGTGTTTCTAGGTTCATCAAGGTATTGGAGTGGCTTTGCAAGAGAAATAGCTGAGTGGTGTGACAGGGTCTACTTTGAACGTTTCCTTCAGTAACAATAAGCTGAGTCATAGGTCTTGAATTATCTTGCATCCCTTTCACCTACATTTGTCATCGTCAGTTTGTAGACTGTGTAAGTCACCCAGATTTGTGTTGCTTTTCAGACATGAAGTCACGAGTTCTTAAAAGTTCATATATTAAGTCCATTAGAAATCAACCTCAGTTTTAGAGGTGTCTGATGGGGAGGTGCCGCGAAGTGCTACAGTCTTGATGGGATACACCAAGTTGCTTATAGACATGAGAAGGGTAATGATGAAACTAGCTTTCTGGTCACGCTTCTGGTTCATTGCCTGTGTTGGGTATTCATTTTCAGGTGCTGTGTTAATTGACCAGTATTGCAATCCTCTTGCTGATATCTGCCTCAAAGATATCCAGTCCCAAGTCGAGAGTATTACAGATCAAGTTCGCAAAGTCCTTCGTGGGAAGAACTGTCGCCACCCCAGCTTGGCCTTCAAGGCAGGTGTGGAATTGCTTCTAGTTCCAGTTTTGCTTTGTAAAAGAAAACCAAAGAGTTTAGAGTTAATCTGGGAAAGTGTAGAACATTTCCTGCATTATCAAAATATCTTGAGATATTTTATATCTAATTGCAGATGGTTTAATAGTTATCAGAAGTCTTCCTCTATAACACATATGCATATACATGTATGTTATATACATATATATTTTTCCTCTTCTTCAAGGTTCTGTGCCTACTGTTACCATGTATGTATTAATTTTCTTATCTATTTGACCAGCTAACTCTAATAAACCAGTGGAAATCAGACTCAGGTTTTAGTGCAATGGGAGAGTGACATACCCCACCAGCAGTTGATGAGAATGTTTGTCGTTCACAATTCAGTTAGTGATATTTATATAATACATCAGACAAAGAAAAGAAAATGGTGCTCATTATGCTACAGCTGGTTATACAAAGAATAAAAGTGTGCTTGTTCAGGAGAATCGATGTCATAAGCAAGCCACAGGAGATAAGAGAAGGAATGTGTTCTTATTTGTATAGCTAGTTGCACCAAATCAAAGAGAACTACCTGACAAGCTAGATAGAGGAGGGGTCATTCCAGAGACCATGAAAGGCCTCCTTTTTAAGCAATGAAGTCTTGTTGTGCCAATTAGGGCAGCAGAGAAGACGCTGACGGGAACCAGCTGTTGTAACTGGTCTTGCAGTTCATGCAGGGGTTATACACAGCAAATTGAAAAATACAGAACAGAAGAGAGTCACTTATATTCTCCCCAAAATCTGCTTTCATCAATTGCTTGATGATTTCTAGCGGTGATCAGACTATCCGGTTTGTTTCTATTGTCAACTGTGTGTTTTGATCTTCTGTGTGTTTGTTAGGTGGGGCCATGATAACTGAAGGTGAGCTCCAGAGCCAGGTCCTCGAGGCCATCAACTATGTGCTTTATGATCAGCTCAAATACAGAGGGAACCGAATGGATTACTACAATGCCCTGAACCTATATATCCATCAGGTGAGGGAGTGAGTCCTGCATTGGGGAGAAGTCTCACAAAGACTTGACTAGCACTGCAGAGTCTCAAGATGGGAGGTGTCCCACTTGTAAAACCTCACAAATGGGCCAGCACTCAGAAAACAGTTCCTTCCCTTGTAGACTTGGTAATGTGTTCTAGGAAGCCAGCGTAGGATTGTTAAAGCTTTAAACCAAGAGGCCATCTGACCTTGGGCACTTTAAATGCATCACATGGACTGAGTTTGCCATTTCAGCCCTTCTCTGAATTCCTTTTGATTGAGTGACCAAGCCTCACGTCTATGTAACTTTTCTAAAATAAATTTTATTGCTGCCTTTTGTTTTTACTTCACTGTCATTTCAGAATATAGCCACCCCCCTTTCCCTGGAACCTTTTGAAAAACAAAGCAAAAGAAATAAGCAAAATCTACTCACACAGGCCTGGTCGTCTGACAGTGTACATACTGTTCTGCTCCAGTATTTTCCCCACGTCTCTACTAAAAGAAGAGGCAAGAGGAGGAAGGAGGAGAATGTTTTATTCTCTTTTTGTTTGAGAGCAAGAATGATTGTTACGAGCATTTCGAGTTTAGCTCCTCTTTACGGGCCTTTACGTTTACGTCGCTGTCATCTTTGTGGATGTTCATCTCCTTGGTTCTGCTTACTTCGCTGTGTATCAGTTCATATGGGTCTTCCCAGGTTTCTCTGAATTCCTCACATTCATCATTTCTTCTGGCACAATAATAATCCATTACATTCTTAAGCACAATTTGTTCATCCATTCACCAATTGAAAGAAATCCATTTTGTTTCCAGTTTTTTGCCACAACAAAAAGTGTTCCTATGAATATTTGTTATATATGAAACTTTTCTGTCTTTGATTTTCTTGGAATATGTACCCAGTGATGGGATTGCTGAATCAAAGGGTATAAAGAGGGAAGTTTTTGTCACATATAGGCAAATGTTTACCCGAATTTTTGTAGTGATTCACAACGGCATCAATGATATATTAGTATGCCTGTTTCCCCAGACCCCATCCACCATTGACTTTTTCTGTCTTTATTTTTGCCGGTTTGATGGATGTGAGGTGAAACCTCAGAATTGTTTGAATTTATATTTCTTATTCATGATTTGGAGCATTGTTTCCTGTAGTTGATGGGTTGAATTAAAAAAAAACACTTTATATCCTTTGGCAACTCTTTTATTGGGGAGTTTTATATATTATTGTCCTAGTTTTATATATTATTGTCAATTTCTTATATATCTTGGATGTCAGATTTTTATTAGATATTTGATCTGAAGATTTTTCCCCCACTGTATAATTTGTCTTCTTACCAACTGCATTAATTTTGTTTGTTCAAAAGTTTTTTAAATTTTGTGTAATCAAAAATTATCCATTTTTTCTTATGTGATCTCACCTAACTCTAGTCATCTAAAGAATTTTCCCCCTGCCCATAGGAAAGGTACAAACTTCCCTTCTCCTCTAATTTTTATTTTTTAATGATGTGACCTTTTATAATTAGGTTCTAGGTCCATTTGGACTTTATTGTAATAGGTGGTGTAAGATGCTGGTGTAAAGCCAATTTATGCCAAACGATTTCCCTCTTTTCCTAGCATTTCTTGTCAAATAGTGTTTGTTCTTCCTCCCAAAAGTTTATGTTTTTGAGTTTGTAGAACGCAAGTTCTGGGTTAGAGTGTTCAATCACTACCCATTCCGCTCACCTGTTTTTTTTTTCTCTGTGTGTGTGTGTTTTTTAAAACAATATTGAGGGGGCAGCTAGGTGGCGCAGTGGATAGAGCACCGTCCCTGAATTCAGGAGTACCTGAGTTCAGATGCGGCCTCAGACACATAATACTTACTGGCTATGTGACCCTGGGCAAGTCACTTAACCCCATTGCCTAGCAAACAAACAAACAAAAAAACAGTATTGAGTAATTTTGTTGATTATTACATTATACTGTACTTCAAGATCCAGTCGTACTTTCCTTCATTCCTACTTTTGTTCCTTTTTTACCGTGAAATAATTCTTTAAAAAAAAACACTTCTACAGTTTTTTATGTCTTAGGTTTTTTTAAATATATTAAGCTCTATTAGCTGATGAGTTTAGTTTAGTTTTTGTTTATTTTTCTCTTTCAGGTTTTGGGCCGAAGAACAGGAATCCCAATTAGTCTGTCTGTACTCTATTTAACGATTGCCAGGCAGCTGGGAGTCCGACTGGAGCCGGTCAATTTCCCTAGTCACTTCTTGTTAAGATGGTGTCAGGGTGTCGAAGGGTGAGTTTTTGTAAAGTCATGATTGGTTCTAAGGACTTGCTTCAAGTATAATGTATTTTTAGTAACAACAACAACAATAATAATAGCTAACACATATATTGCTTACTATGTGTATCTCATTTGACCCTCACAAGAACCCTGGGAGGTAGGTGCTATTACTGTCCCCAGTAAACTGAAGCAGGTAGAGGTTCAGTGGCTTGCCCAAGACCACACAGCTATTAGATGTCTGAGGCTGGATTTGAACTTACATCTTCCTCATTCCAGGCCAGCACTCTGTCTACTGTACCACCTCGCTGCCCCCAGTGGGATACCTCACTTTTGGTATGAGCCAAAGAGTGTTTCAAAGTGGTGTTTCTGTGACTCTTATAGCATCATCCGCTCCTCTTCCTCCTCTTCCCTTTGTCTGTGTGGGGAGTCATATCCTTACACGTGGTTTTGATCGCTTATACTTTACAAGATATCTTGTGTTGGGGATTGGGGGCTAGATTTTTTTTCTTCCCTAGTTATTTATTTATTTATTCTATCATTGTCTTTTTTGGAAAACTGGGACGATTAACTCTTTTGTCTCATGTAGTTTTCATTCATGATTTCTTGAAATACAACTCTGGTGAACCAGGCTTTGATAAAGCCCGTTGGGATTGAAATGGAGTTATGTGACTATGCCTTTAAACCCTGATCACTCTGACTGTCACTGATTGGCCGATAACAGGCCCCAGCCCAAGCCTTGCTGGTTCATTGTTTGGGTTTTGATGACTCCCAGTGAGCGTAAACAGCAGTTGTTTCTGCTCTGGCCAGAAACTCTGAGGGCCTTACCTGCCCGACTGATTCTTTTAGGAAGTCAGACCAGGCCATCTTTTGCCTCAGTTCTTACCTCATCTTTAATCACCTAATAGGCGTTTCTTCAGACAAACTGAGACCTGGGAGAGACCTTAGTTTAACAAGGCTGAGGTCTCCCGCTGCATCCGGGCCATCGCCAGTCATCCTGACCTGGTGTTACCCCTGGACTCCGATGACTGAAGGAGACAGCGAGGCTGGTGACTTTGCACAGCTCTGCCTCACTTAATTCCAGTTCCTTTGCAAGTCAGGACATCACCCTGCTGATGTCACTGGTCCTCTTGGAGAATGAAGGACAAAACAACAGCATCACCTTCAGTTCTGAAGCAGAACTGGCACAAGCGTCTATACAATTCATTTTAAATTTTCCCTGAATGCTACATGCACCCAGCCAAGGTTATCTTAGCCAGTCTCCTCATTCTCATCCACCGCGTCCTTCTAATTGTGCAAGGTGGATGATCGAGGCTCCTTTGAGCTGTGGCTTCCTTCTCCTGCACAGCCTGGGCCTGTGTCTCCCTCCTTTGCCCTTGCCGTGTTCATCTCTGAGGAGCTAGCACTGTCCATCACTCTCCTCTCTTCAGTACTCCTTCCTCTTTAGGTTTTTACAACAGTGCTCTCTCCTGGTTCTCCTCCTGCCTGTCTGACCACTCCACAGTTTCCTTGCTGGGTCTTCACCCAGTTCTTGGTCACTAACTAGAGGTGTCCTCAGAGGCTTCATCCTGGGCCCACTTCAGTATTTTCCTTGGTGATCTCATCAGCTCTGATGGATTGCTTTGTTATCTCTATACAGAGGATCCTCAGATCTGTTTGTCCAACTCTAACTTGTCTTCTGGCCTCTAGGGTTTTTTTTGTTTTTGTTTTTGTTTTGTTTTGTTTTGTTGGCTAGGCAGTGGGGTTAAGTGACTTGCCCAGGGTCCCACAGCTAGTGTCAAGTGTCTGAGGCCGGATTTGAACTCAGGTCCTCCTGACTCCAGGGCCGGTGCCCTGGCCTCCATTTTTGCATCTCCAACTTACTATTAGACAATTCAAACTGAATGTCTCACAGACATTTTACACTCAGCATGTCCAAAACTAAACTCATTATCTTTTCCCCCAAACCCTCCCCTGTTCCTACTTTGCCTGTGACTGTTGAGGGCACCGCCTTCCTCCCAGTCCCCCGGACTCACAACCTTGGTGTCATGCTGGATTCCTCCCTGTCTCACCCCCCACATCAAGCTGTTGCCAGGTCAGTTGATTTTACTTTCGTAACATCTCTCAAAGGTGCCCCGTCCTCTCCTCTGATACTGCCCCTGCCTTGGGGCAGGCCCTCATCCCTCCCCCCTGGACTAGTGCAGTGACTGCTGGTTGGGGTCCCTGCCTCCATTCTTGCATTACTCCAGTCCGTCTTCTCCTTAGCTGTCAGATTGGCTTTCCTCTATGTTTTATATGACTTCATATGTCTAATCAACATCATGTTGTTTGCCTTCTTAAAGGGTGAGGAAGGGGAGGGAGGGAGAGAATTTGGAAATCAACAATTTTTTAAATGATGTTAAAAATTTTAAATATAATTAGGGAATATTCAGTGAAATAAGTAAAAACATTTTTTAAAAAATTGATTTTTCTAAAGTACAGATCTGACCATGTCATTCCCACTCCCCTCATCTCCACCCCCACACACACACATACACTCCATTCATTAAAGTCCAGTGACTCCCTGTTGCCACCAGGATGAAATATAAAATCCTCTGTTTGACTTTGAAGGCCCTTCATTATCAGGCCTCCTCCCCCCTGCCTAGTTTTCTTATACCGTATTCCCTTTCACATATCCTGTGGTCCCACGGGAGCTCTTTGCTGTTCCTTGCACGGGACACCCCCACCTCTCAAATTCATTCATTTTTCTTGGCCATCCCCCATGCCTGGAACACTCTCCCTCCTCATCTCCCTCTCCTGGCTTCCCTGGCTTCCTTCACGTCTCCTCCAAAGCCTACCTTCTGCACGAAGCCTTTCCCAGGCCTCCTTAATCTTAGTGTTTTCCCAAGGAAATTATCTTCTCCATATCTTATACGCGTCTTCTCTGCACGTTGTTGTTTATATTCAGTCCCTCCCCCTGAACTGTGAGCTCCTGAGGAGCAAGGACCGTCTTGTGCCTTGCTTTGTTTCCCCGTGCTCAGCACAGTGCCTGGCACATAGTAGGTGATTCCTAAATGCTTGTTGACTTAATTTTATCATTAAACATTTTTTTCTATCAGATTTTAAATCTCCTTTAGTCATATTTCCATCGTGCACATGAGATGAAGAAATGTCACTATTTTTATTTTCAAAAAATTCAAAAACCTTGATAACCATTTATAATTTTTTTCCTTTTTACCATCCTTTGATTTCTGTCCAATTCCAAATAAATTTCTTTTCTATTCTCTACATCTTACCTGTCATAGCCCAAAGCTAGTTAGAGACTCCACAGTGTATATAATAAGACCCGACTTTCTTGATCCTATGTAGAAATCCACAAACATTTTATCCAGATCTAGAAAAATTCGTTATCAAAAAGACAGTCTTTTGCCAGCAGGAATAGTCACTCCAGTGTCTTGGAAAAAAGATTAAATTCAGAGTTTGAAGATGTGGCTTCTAGTGCTGGCTCCATCATCTTTCCGTGAGAACCATCCCCAGCGTTCAGGTCAGATGAAGCTGTGTGTGCCAGAGCACTCTGTCAAAGGCAGGTGGGACTGTCTGAGACCATGAGAACGTAAGGGCCAAGGCATTCCCTACCTGAGAAGTCCTAAAGCACCGTTGGTAGGCTTTGGCCACTGATCATCACCAAATGAGAGAGCCTTTGTCTCTTGGGGTAGAAAAGCAGATATTCAAACCAGATCTTAGCAGACTTGGACAGCATGATGTCCTTTTGTTCAGTCATTTCAGTTCTGTTGGTAGCCTCGGTTGTCAGCACAGTTTTGACGACATTTTCTTCTTAGTAAGATTATCCTCCAGTTGGGTCAGTAGTGTCATTCTGCTTGATCCAATGACTTGGGTGTCAGCTAAACTGAAAGAAAGATCCTTATGTAGCTTGAGAGAACTTGGACGGCCTCTTTTTGCCCAGAGGTCTTTCTAAACTCGAGGAACATCGTCAGCCATGTAACTTTCCTTGCTGTTCCTTACTGTCAATTCATTTCAGCCTGGGAATGCTGCAGAGGGTAAATACAAGGTCGCCAATTTTAAACAATGACATTCTAAGTGACAATAGGGCGTTTGGCCTCAGGCATTTGGGGAGCCTGTTAAAAAACGTCAGATATCAAAATGTACGTTCCAACCTGAGTTTGGGCTCTGTGGGCTTTTTCACTAGGAGCCAAGATATTTTTGACTACATTTACATAGACGCCTTTGGGAGAGGAAAGCAGCTGACAGTGAAAGAATGTGAATATCTGATTGGCCACCACGTGACAGAGGAGTTCTACGGGGTTGTTAGCTCTAAGAAGGTATTGCAGCGAATGGTGGGAAACCTCTTAAGCCTGGGAAAGCGGTGAGTCCTGGTTGTCTGACTTGAGTCTACCTAATGTCAATCTTCAGATGGTTCCCAGAAGCTTCTCTAGCCCTGCAGAAACCCTTATCCTAGGGCATACCTAGCTGTCCCACCCCACAGTGACTCCAGAGGAGTGAGACTCTGTTATAGAGTGACAAAGACGTAGATGGCCATTTCTCCCTCCCATGGGTAGGCCATGAGACGCCTTCCCTCTGTACACTTAGGAGGGCTCAAAGAACAGTCTACAGTCTACTTAGAGTTGATATACAGATTAAAACTGAGAGAGTGTAAAAGAGGGCAGGATGCTAGACACCAAACTTATTCTGGAGGCAGGATGGGTTCTTTTACATTATTGCTCAGTCATCTTTGAATTGACATTTAAATGTTTCATCTTATGTTTCCATGTGTTTTATAAGGTGTAACTCAGCATTTGTGAAAAAGGCTCCTTAATTAGTAGTTGACCCAAACATGGGCTAAATGTCCAACAGAAAGTCCCAGATGTTTCCATGTTTAAAATTTAATTCCAGTGTTTACAATGTTCAAGGCTTTGTGCTTGGCTCTGGGGTGCAAAGATAAAAATGGGATGTTGTCTGCCCTCACGGTGCTTACATTCAATCTGAGAGAATCATAGCATCTACAGAAATGGATAGAGTACAGGGAAAATCAAGGTCAGAGAGAGCTCGAACCACTGAGATGGATCCCGGAAGGCATCACAAAGTGGGTGGCACTTGTCCAGATCCTTGAAGAAAGACCAGGGTTCTGGGTAATGGAGGTGAGTAGGAAAGGCCTTCCTATAAGGGACTGTGTGCAAAAATCTTGCATCTTCTAGACAAGGTGCTCTTGACCTGGAGTCCATAAACTTGTTTTTGGTTTCTTTTTTAAAAGTATTTTGATAACTGCATTTCCGTATAATTAGTTTCCTTTGTATTTTATTTTCTGCATTACAAATATGATTCTGATCAGGAGTCTGTAGGCTTCCCCGGACTGATTGCCCAAGCGGTCTTCAGCCCTTTCTAGTGAAATAGCCCTGCTCTGGGTACTGGGGAGCCACTGAAGGGTTTTGAGGGATGGAATGGCATGGTCAAAGCTGGGCTGTCTTGGGAACAAGTAGCAACTTCATGGACGGAGGGGTAGAGAGAGGAGAGGCTGATTCAGGAGTCTAATGAGGAGGTGTTGAGAGTGACTGGTGACTCAGTCAGGTGGGTAAAACTACAAAAAAATGGGAAGATAAAGGTATGTCAGAATTACTTCAGGGATTTCAAAGGGGAAGTGGATGTTTTGGTTTTGAAAAGACTTGATTATGGGAGAAATTTGGAAAATGTGGTGCTCTTTAATAATGGTTTTCTTCTGTTAGCCACATTCGATTGTTAGCCCTGAATAGGCATGAGATGTCCCTTTTCAGGTTCCTCTTCCTTTAAATGCCTACTGTGGTGCCCCAGAGCACTGTGCTAGGCCCTAGGGTGGATACCTAGGCTCCTGGGGCCCAGGAGTCCCAGAAGTCTTGGTGTCTTCCCCAGGGCCCACAGCCTTGCAGGGGATCCATGACACACAAGAACACAGACGTTTGGGTTTCTCCCCATCCACAAATGAGAAGCCAGGTTTGTTTGTTTGCCTCTTTCCCCCATCTAAAGTAGGGAACCATTTGTTGAACAAATTCTCTGAAAAGAGCCATTAGAACCAAGGGTATGTGTTTGTTTGTTTTTTTAATATTTATAAAAAGAAATTGATGCCTTATAGCCTCCACCTTGGAACACAAATGGATGCCTTAGAAAATGGAAACATTGATTTCATTTTTTAACACCAGAGAGACAACAAGAAAGAAAATGCAGAAGTTAAGAGATACTTTTTGATGTGTCTTCTTCTCTTGTCGGTAGGGAAAGCACGGACCAATCTTACCAGCTCTTACGGGACTCCTTGGATCTGTATCTGGCCATGTATCCAGACCATGTGCAGCATCTCTTGCTCCAGGCCAGGCTCTACTTCCATTTGGGAATTTGGCCAGAAAAGGTAATGGGCTCTAGTGGCCTGTGGTGAAAGGGGGTAAGGGGGCTCATGCTGGGGAAATAGAGCTGCAGACATCTTGGTGAAGCAGCCAACGAGGCGAGCTAGAGCCAAAGTGTCAGGGCCTCTCTGCGTTGAAGTGAGGTGGAGGGAACATACATATTCCTAGTTTGGTGTCTTGGTGTTACTATGCCACCTAACCATTCATTCACTGACTGAAACGTGGGCTAAATGTCCAACAGAAAGTGCCACGTTGTCATCTTTTGTATCTTAATCCAGCGTTCCCCGCTTTTGTCTGGCACATCTACCCCTTGACTTTCAGAAAACCTTCCTATACCCCCTATTCAGTACGAAAGGAAATCTATTCTAGAGTTTATCATGTATATCTACATTAGGAATGAAATACATTTTATAAAGAAAACTTTATTTGGTAGATAACATTTGTGATGTTTAAAAAGTTCAAGAGATAATTTCTGGGTAATTTAATCATTTTATTAAATGATGCCAGCATTTTGGCCATCTCTCTCTTAGACCAAAGACAATCATAGTGGCAGGCTCACAGCTTATATATGCCCGTGTTCCCCAGAGTGGAAATCAACTCTGATTGGTTAACAATTAATGAGAGAATGAATATTACAATAAGAATCTGGGTTGTGTTACTTTGAGGGTCTTGGAGTGACAACATGTCAAAGAGAGATTGTCTCTATACCCAGACCCCCCCTTGGCCTTGAGCAGTCTATTCAAAGAATTTATCCCCACCTAAACCTGAGGAGAGGGCCCTGGCTGCCCCACCTGGGTGGGGTCTGAACAAGAAAGTTAATCCAATCTCATTAATCAGTAATGTACTTCCAGAGCCTGAACTTTTGACATCTGGGCCTTAGAAAAAGCTGGACATCTGGATTTCCTCAAATCATTGGTTATTAATAATCATTTCTCTCACATTTTTGGCATTGTAAAGTTGTTAAATATTTACCAGAAACAGTTGGCTCCAGTCTGTCCTCAGCCAGCAGTCTTATTCATGGTATAGTTATCCTGGGCAGCCTCTCCTTTGTTTCTTGCTTTGGATTTGATTGAGAACAGACCTAAGAGTCCAGATTCACAGAGTGAGCGTGCTCAGTAGGAAGGAGATGTGCTCCAAGGAGGCCTACATCGTGCCATTGACTGATTGGACATCAGTTTTGGGGTTTCAGGCTGTTGCAGAGATCATTCTTTCACTTTACCATTCAGTAATTGTTCTTAGCTCAGTATGAAAAGCACTTTGCACCCAGACCTCATTGGTTTGGTTTTGGTTACCAGAGTTGGGGAGATGAGTTGGAGCCCACATCAGCGTGGTCGTGGGGGAGGGTCAGGGAAGAAAGGCAGTCACCAGGCAGGTAGAAAGAAGAGGAGAGAGCAGGAACAGTTCTGAAGGAGACGGGGCAGGACTGTGTGGTTGGTGGATTGGAGCCCAAGAGGGAGGATGCTGAGGTTTCTGAGTGTGAGTCGATAAGCTATTTGTAGTTTACTGTTTCTAAGCTTAGAAATAGCTGGAAGACAGGTGGCACCGCTAACAAAAATAAGGTGGTATGAAAGGGGAGCCAGGGGCTGCAGGGCAGAGGGCTCCCTTTGGAGCACACTGCCCTTAGTGGGATGTGGGGACATCCCAGGGAGGAGGAGATGTGGGACCAGAGCACAGAGCAGGAAGCGCCATCCCAAGGGAGGATGGGCGGCCTGCCGTGGAGGAGGGGGCGCTACCCCTTTGGAAATCTCTACACAGACTCCAGGTGGTCATTTCCCAGGAGGGCTGTGAGGACATTCTGGGCCCAAGATTATTCGGACCAGGGGCCTCTGGAGTCTGAGGCAGCAGGAGGAGAGCCTCTGAGCAGAGCTGGGCATACCCATCGTGGGAGGGCTGCCTCTCAGCTAGGATGGAGGCCCGAGGGGAGGAGCCAGCAGGAGAGGCAGGCCAAGCACTCACCCGGGCCAGAGGACAGGAATCACGCACGTTCTGTCTAACTCTAAGGCTGGCAGAGCGTTCACGTATGGCCTTTGACATACAACCCTGCGAGGAGAGTGCCCTTCTTAGCCCCATTTTACAGATGAGAAAGCAGAGGCAGACACGGGTGAAGTGACTTGCCCAGGGTCCCACGGCTAGGAAGTGTCTGAGACTGGATTTGAACTCGGGTGTTCTTGCCTCCAAATCCAGTACTCCATACACTGATGCCTTGGTGGGCAGAAGGAGAGCCAGGAAAGTCTCATCTCAAGAAGCAAGGAACCAAATTCTGGATTTTCAGAGGTCTTCTCATCCGAACATTATATTCTATTTCAGAAACTCTGGTAACTGTCCTCTGTGAGGAACCTAGCTCAGTGACGTATGTTGAAGGCTTAGCTACTTTATCGGCGTTTTGTGTGCGTGGTTCTCCTGAGCTCCCTCTACTCCGGGATCCTAACCACAGGACTCAATGATGGGCAGAGGAAAAGCATTGCAAAGTCCACTTCTCCTAAGAATCCGTGTTTTTCTCTCATGCTACATTTTCAGCAAGGCTGGACCTCCTAATCTAACAAGGGAGCATGATGGACTGGGAAAATCTGAGGAGTAGTTCTAAATGACAGGCGGCGTTTTCCCCAGTGCTCACTTACACAAAAATTTCTATGATAAGGACAGTCAGGGACTGATGTGTGAGTCTGGTAATTCTGACAAATATGGATGTTCACCCTGTTCCTGCACTCTTTTTGTGGCCGCCTCCGATCGAATCATGCACCTTGTTGGAGCATTGAGTCTGAAGGTAGTGCCACCATCTTGGGCACATCTGTTCTGTCTCCCAGTTCCTTTGTGTGGTGGGTTATTTTTCTTTTGCATACTTAAAAAAAAAAGGTTGTAACTAGATGCAGACATACTCTTAGAGCTGTCAGAGACTTTGGAGGTCGTGTAGTCCAAAGTGTTGATTTTATAGATGGAGAAATTGAGGCCCAGAGAGGTACACTGACTTAACTACCTTCATGCAGCTAGTTAATTGCCAGCAGACTATTTCTTACTTCGGTGTTCTCTCTACTGCACCCCGCTACCTACAGATAATTCCCTACACTTTCACACAATGAACAGGCTAAATTTCAAAACGCTCTCAGATCCTCAGGAGTGGTGGCTTCATTGAAAACAAGCCTCCTAGCCCATACTAAGGGCAGCCAGCTAGCATAGTGCTGGGCCCAGAGTCAGGAAGACTCATCCTCAAGAGTTCAAATCTGACCTCAGATACTTACTAGCTGTGTGACCCTGGGCAAGTCACTTCACCCTGTTTGCCTCAGTTTCCTCATCTGTCAAATGAGCTGGAGAAGGAAATGGCAAATCACTTGAGTATCTTTGCCAAGAAAACTGCAAATGGGGTCATGGAGAGTCAGACACAAGTAAAAGTCAAGTCAAGTAAAAGTCCTGTCTCCAAAAGTCTCATGGAGGAAAATGCCATCCACATCCAGAGAAAGAACTATGGAGCTTGAATGCAGATCGAAGCATACTATTTGCTCTTTTCTTTTTCTTCAGTGTTGTTTTGTTTCTTCTTTCTTGTGGTTCCTCCTGTTGATTCTAATTCTTCCTTGCAACATAACTGATGTGACAATATATTTAATAGGAATGAATATGTATAGCCTATATCAGATTGTGCGCCATCTTGGGGAAGGAGGTTGGGAGGGAGGGGGAGAAATTTGAAACTCAAAAGCTTATGGAAGTGATTGTTGAAAACTGAAAATTAATTAATATTTTTAAAAAGCTATTATAATAAAAATTATAAAATAGATTTAATATGAAGTCTTGCAAAAAAATAAATAAAGTAAAAGTCACAAGGCAGACGAGCAGCTCGGGCGAGACCAGCCACATCTGGAATTTGAGGGGCTTGACAGCAGCTCTCCCTCCTTATTTGCCAAGTGTGCCCTCTGTCAGTAAAAGTACAACTAAGAGCATTCGTTCCTGCCCTTCTTTGGCTGCTGAAGGTACTGGACATCCTGCAGCATATCCAGACCTTGGACCCCTCCCAGCACGGGGCAGTTGGCTACCTGGTGCAGCACACCTTGGAGCACATTGAGCGCAAGAAGGAGGAGATCGGGCTGGAGGTGAAGCATCGGTCGGAAGAGAAGCACCGAGATGTCTGCTACTCCGTCGGGCTCGTCATGAAACATAAGAGGTGAGAGCGTGAACCTGCTGCAGGGCCCCTGAAGAAGGGGTCGCTGGTGTCCTGGGCTGGTGAGTGGGCTGCCTGTGCCCTCGGTTCCCTGTGTGTGTATATATGTGCACATGTGCGCACACGCACACACATATGCTGTCACATACAGGCAGAGATTCTGGGCCTGAGATTTCATTGGTCTAAAGCAGTGGTATCACTCAAATAGAAACTGATCCCATAGTAGCAGATTGACTTAGAAAACCACAAACAGCATGTATGTTGTATCATATTTTTTATTTATTTTGTTAAACATTGCCCAGTGACATTTTCCTCTGATTTAGGCCACATTTAGGAGTTTTGCAGGCCCCATCTCTGATGTAAAGAACTCCCACAGGAAGAAACGCCCTTCTCCAGTGCAGCTGGAGAGTCTTAGAGCCGCCCAGAGCTGTGGAAATGAAGTGACACGCCCAGTGTCACCCAGCCAGTGGGGGGCAAAGGCAGAGCTTTACCCTACCCCCGCTGCCGCTCAGCGGCCTGTTTCTGTATTCTTGTGGGACAGGAGCGGTCAGGCCAGTCTGGAGCCAAAAAAAAACAGTCAATGTTGGTGGTTGTCTTTTTTAAAAATAATTTTACGTTGCTTTGTTTTTGCGTCACTTGCCTTTCTCAGTCTCTTTCTGTTTCTCCTCCCTGACATTGCCTTAAGGAGATACCGTTGTCCCAGTGATGTTGGCTTCTGGTATTAAGTCTGCTCTCCTTCCTTAGGGGCAGTGAACAAGAAGGCTTCCTTTCCCTTTTATAACCCTGCCCTAGAATTCCCCAAACTCTCTAGTGGCTGCTGGCCTCGTGTGCCTTCTGAAAGCTCTGTCCCTGCCTCCCTCTTGTGCTCAGAATGGAGTCTTCAATTTCAGGGCAAAGTTCACTGATCTTGGATTTCCCTAGATGATGTCATAGGTTCCCTTTCCTCAAGACTTTTTTTTCCTTTGCTTTTTAAAAAATGCTGAGTTATCAATGAGAGGGGGTTTTTTGGTCAAAATAAGTAAAATGACAATCCGGGAAAAGGGAGAGGATTTATATAGAGCAAAAAAGGTGAGGCTGAAATCATTTTCTACACAGGAGACAGAAAGGTAGGGAATTTGTAAGAGTGTGAGTCGTGGGCAGGGGTGCCGTTATTTCTGCCTTCTGCTCTTTCCAGAACGATCCTTTTTGACCATCCGTCGTCCTTCTCTCTTTAGGTACGGCTATAACTGTGTAATCTATGGCTGGGATCCAACCTGCATGATGGGGCACGAGTGGATCAGAAACATGAACGTGCACAGCTTGCCTCATGGCCACCATCAGCCTTTCTACAACGTGCTAGTGGAAGACGGGTCATGTAGGTACGCAGCCCAAGGTGAGTTGGCGCTGCCGAGCTGTGTGTATTCATTGATGCTTATCATCATCGGTTACCCTTTCCTCGTGGATACGGGATGACTCCACAGTAAACCACTTCTAGGGCTTGTTATTACTGGCCTGTAGGCCTTACAGGGCGCATTGCAACGTGGCTCAAAATGAACCACACTCTGAATAATAGGACGGTACATGGGGGCAAGCATCGTGAAGCGCTGACTCAGCACGGGACCCACAGAGAAAGGAAGAAGCATCTTAGGATCCTGCAGGAGCTCCCTCCACAAGGCAGCCTGCAAATAGCTGTGTAGGCACCAGCCAGAGACAGTGATCTGGGGGGAAGGAAAGCCCTGTGAACAGGAGGGAGAGGCCTTCTTCTTAAGGTCGGGTCTGAGCTGAGCCTTGAAGGAGGCCTGGGGGGCAGAGGTGAGGGAGAGGATTCCAGGCCTGAGGGACAGCCAGTGAAAAGACACAGAGTTGGGAGGTTCTTGTCCTGTGTGCAGAACGGCCAGGAGGCCACGGAGGCTCAGTCACAGAGTTTTTGGAAAGGAGTAAGGGGTGAGGCCTGGAAGGGGTGAAGGGCTTTAAAAGCCAAATAGGATTTTATAGTTGATCCTGGAGGTAACACAGATAACATGGTCAGACCGACACTAAGGAAGATCGCTTTGGCAGCCAGGGGGAAGATGGCCTGGAGTGGGGAGAGATTGAAGGCAGAGTGACCATGAGAACTCTGGAAGATTTCTGACATGGTTTATCCAAATCGAGTGGATTGCTGTGTTTCCCAGCAGAGAGTGGTCGTGCTGGAATATATTCATTAATTTCCTTGTACCCGAGACTTAGCTGTAATTCAGACCACAATGGTGAACATTTCTGTAGTTTAAATATTTATGTTAACTTTAAAGCAAAGCATTATCTAGGAAAAATGGAAAGGATTTTTTTTGGGAGGGGTTTGGTCCACGGTCTATCTAATTGTCACGGTTTGAGTTTTCCCATCTCAAAAATAAATAAAATAACTGTGCAAGAGACAACACTACAGGTTTAAATTTTTTAAATGTCTTTGAAATCCCTGGATCACTCGTGTCCTTAAACATAGGATGGAGGCAAATGATGTTCAAAGAGAAATAACTACATCATCAAAACAATAGGCAAAAATAAAACCTTTTTTAAATTTCATTAATTTGATTTATCAACAAAACCCCCCTTTTTTTTTAAAGGAAGTTACGAAGCCCCAGTTGTTGGCATCAGCTTGACTGGCTTTCACGGCCTGTCATTCACTCTAAGGGTCTCGGTTATTACTTTCGAGGCTTCAGTGGAGCCGTGCGCTCATCAGTGAATGTATCAATGTGCCTGGCGAGGCCACATCCACACCCTCTCACCATATCCCCTCTAAACCCTCCCTAGAAGGGTGTGGGGCTTTCCTCTCGTTCTCTTGACACTGGATGCCAGTGGAATTCATCATTCATCACTCATCGTTTAAGGTTTAGTGCACCTCCTTCTCTGGTCCTCCTAATGTGAGGACCAGATTTTGTCAAGTCTTATTAAAGGTCATTTACATGTTTTTCTAGGACAGCTTAGGTGCGAGCCTGAAGTCAGGAAGACTCATCTTCCTGAGTTTAAATCTGGCTTCAGACACTTACTGGCTGTGTGACTCTGGGCAAGTCACCTCACCCTGTTTGCCTCAGTTTCCTCATCTATAAAATGAGCTGGAGAAGGAAATGGCAAACCACTCCAAGATCTTTGCCAAGAAAACCCCAAGTGGGGTCATGAAGAGTAGGAAAAGACTGAAAAACAACACATGTATTTCTAGATTTGTTTAGTTAAAATTTATTTCTGTACCAAATGCTGATTGAATTTTCTTGCATGGCTCTAATAGTCTTATTACTATGAATATGTTAAAAGCTTTGCAAATCTTCAATCCCTACCCAAATGCTATTAGCTGTTATGATTTTGGTAATAGCTCAGCCCTGCAGGATCTATGAGTTTCTCAGTGAGGGTACCCTGACCTCTTAGTAAGCCATCTACATGAGTCGCTTTGGCCCAGTCACTTTCATCGCCGCGTGTCAGATCTTTGGATAGTGAGCTTTTCTGAACTTACGGAGACTTATCCTTGGGTGACAGATCGACACGTAAAACTTGTCTCATTCGGTGGGCTGTAGCATGGTTTGTGGTCTGTTGCCGCGACTCTCTAGGACCCAGGGCCACCCTCCTAGTAATGAGGATCTAAGCAGGACATTAGTGAAGGGTTGCCATTAATAGGGATTCTCAGCCAATCTCTGCATCTCCTACTGAGTCAGACAATGGAATCCATACCAGATGAATTTAAAATACATTAATATTTTGAATACATTAGTATTGCATAGTATCTATGTAATTAAATAAGAGACCTAATCAAAATGAGAACCTTTTTAAGCAACTGAATGTGACGCTTTCGCCACCAGAGGGCACATTTTGCTGCTTTGACAAATCCCTAGACCTTAGAGATGATGTGTTCTAACTTCCTCTGTAGATAAGGAATGGTCCTCTTCAGACAAACAACCACAAGAATAGATAAGGAAACTGAGGCCCAGCACAGCCCTCTGAGAGCAGGCTTCCATTTCCGCTCCATCCAGACTCCTAATTTTTTTGGATCTCCTGAAATACAAATAATTCTCCTACAGCTTGAAGGTTCCCCAGTCTTCTGAAAACCTAGTTCTGAGTGCCCATGGCTCCCAGAAGTCAGCCTCGCTTTTCTTCGTGTGTCAGAGTCGAAAGCCGAATGGCCTTCTCAGATGCAGGGGAGCATTTCTCAAGGTTTTCTGGGCTTTCACCAGTCCGTATTTTCAATGCTTTGGCATAATATACTATTATGCCTCCCTTCCTTGTCTTTTCCTCTCCCCAGACAAATGTTTTGAGAAGCTTCCTCTTTTCTGGGGTCTGAATCCTTCTCATTAGACGAATATTTACTTTTCCCCTGTGATTTCTAGTCCCTAGGGATTTGGTGCCATCTTCATTATCTCAGTCACAGAATTATGCCCCTTCTGGTTTCCTTGGTGCTGTTAGGAACCGTGCCCTGCCAGACTGCTTACCTGGCGAGGGGCTTCAGCTGGGCAGTGCCCAGCAGCCAGGCTTCATGCTTCTCTCCAGCTTCTGCCAGGAGTGGGGCGGGAGCCCCTTGTGGGCTCTTCTGTGCCTCTTTGCTGCTTTCACCCAAACATTTGCCTTTCCTCTCCACGTCTGCTGTTCGTCCCAATTCCCGGGGCACCGTCCATGTTGCCATATAGCTGAGCTGTCTGTAACAACATCACAAATAAGAAGCTGACTCTCTACCCACCGCACCTCCACTGCTCCCAGGAGGTACGCAGCCAGCCAGCACATTGCTGTGTAATAAAACATGAAGGAGACCAAAGCTATAAATTCTTGGCTAAATTACTAGAGAGAAACTAGAAATTAAGTCTGTTGGGCTAAATGACCCACCTGAATTAACTTTACTTTAAACTGTCTGCCTGCTGTGAAGAGAAGCAGCCTCTCTATGGAAGGCAGGTAGAGGGATTGTTTCTTGGTAGGACTCCTAGTTTCTTCCCCTTCTCATCATCCTGTCTCCCCTTTCTAAATTTGGAAAGCAGAGAATGCAGACAGAATGTGGGCCCCAGCTTGACTTCCCCCTTGTCCAGGTTCCAGCCTGCTATGGTTACATCATCCTGAGCGCTCCCCGAGGGTGCTCGCCTCTCAGTCTTTGCTGATTGGTCCCTCTTGCTACTGGTTACAAATAATCCTCAGAAGAAGGGATGTTTCCTTAGCCAGTAAAAGTTTGGATTTTGTCAAAGCCATCAATGCTTTCAGAGACTTGTTTTTTTTTTCTTTTAGCTGACTTTCTTTTTTTTTAGTAATTTATTTTGATTTATCAACAATCACTTCCATATGCTTTTGACTTTAAAATTTTTCTCCGCCTTCCTCCCCAGCACCCTCCCCAAGACAACACGCAACCTGATATAGGCTGTACACATACATTCCTATTAAACATATTTTCACATTAATGATGTTGTAAGAATTAGAACCAATAGGAGGAACCACCAGAAAGAGGAAACAAAACTCGCCTCCCCCAGTGAGGCCCAGAGAGGTCCAAGTCATTGTAGACTGAAGATCTAACCCATGTCCTCTGGCTCCAAGTGGGGCATATGAACTGTTGACTGGAACATCCCTTATGTGCTGTAGGGTGGCCTCCATGCCCCATCACCCTTTAAGGTAGCACAGAGTTCTCTGGATAAGCTGCTGTGGAAAGGTCTGTTTTTGTCTCCAGTGTTGATTTGCCTCTCTTCTTCCAACAGAAAATCTGGAATATAACACAGAGCCTCAAGAAATCTCTCACCCGGATGTTGGTCGATATTTTTCAGAGTTTACTGGAACTCATTATGTAGCCAACACAGAGCTAGAAATCCGGTACCCAGAGGATTCTGAGTTTGTATGTGAAACAGTGCAGAATATCTACAGTACCAAGAAAGAGGACAAAGAGTGAGGGTAGACAGAGGACGTGGGTGAGTGCGTGCATCTCTGCCGCGGCTGCTGCTCTCTCCTATGAGGACTGGCTTCGGGGAGCACATTGTCCCCGCGGTCCTCGGGCTCGACCTCCAACCAGGAATTGCACTTCTTAACCAATGATCTTGGCTACCTTCTAAGTTAAATAATTCTACTGCGTGTTAGCACTTCGAGACGAAGGTGATGTCACCTGCCTCCAACGCAAGCGTGATCATTTGGAAGGCAGTCCAGTTGGTTGGTGACACGGCTTGTCCTGAGGAGATGATTTATTAGGAATTGTTGTTCTCAAGGTTAACCTCTTAACCATTTTTAAAATCTTTTGCTTAATGTAGTTTGTGTCTATGAGGATTTAATTTTTTTGAACAAGAAGGGGTTATATGTGTATATAATAATTTTTTAAATCAAATTTCCCTTGGAATTTGTGCAATCGTAAGTCAAATTTGTCTTATTTATCCACAAGTTTAATTAAACATTTGGAAGTTAACTTGTAAGTGATCCCAGGAATGTAGCTGGAAATACTTGGGCCTCTCTTTCCAGAGACCCTCATTTCAGTGAGTTTAATGGCCTTTTGAACTTTCTTCCTGCTCTTTGAAACACATGAGATGTGAGGAGCATTGTCCATTTTCCTGTTCTCAATTCCTTCTCCTAGCTCAGGAGTTCATGTCTTTACCCCACCTAATGGTTGCTGTATTCCATTTCCAACACAGTAAATTATTTCAAGAACATTCATAAGAGAAATGTGCTGTGGCGGGTTTTTCTATATAAACTCAGTACTGTTGCCTTTAAACTATTTAAATTCGGCAAATGAGACTATCCTTCCCCCAGGAAGTGGTCCTTGCCAAGGGCTCAGTTCAATGATCTCTCACTTTCCAGCATGGATGAGTGTCTGTGTGATGCTTAAAGCCAGTTAGGTGCCTTTTTATGACACCTAACCTCCCGGGACCTTTAATGACCTGTCTTCCTTTTGACCTGAACAGCCTGCCAGGGAAGGAGAAGGAAATGAGCTGTTGCATACCCCTTAGGAAGTACCTAGGGCCAGAAGAGTGTCAGGACAAGCAAACTATGATTAAGTTGCTTGGGGAAAGTCTGGGATAGTAAACCACTAGTCTGCTGTTGTCTTCTTTGAGATTTACTTAGCTTTGGAATGTGGAGGTGCCAAGCTTTTACACAGCTTCGTCACTTGTTTGATAGACCCCTGTGCTTTTCAGAAGCTTGGCAGCCCTAAAATGAGCTAATGCCATATTTAAGGGGAGTGGGTGCTGCTGCTGGAGTCGGCTTCTAATCCTTGTGCCTATGAGCTTAAGGCATTGCAATTGCTGTAGTGACAGTAAGGCTCTAGGGAGGGGAGGTGCACTCTCCACTCCTCCACATTCTGTCTGTTGACTTGCATGCACTATTTCTCAACATGTTGATGAATGTTTTATGTTTACATAGTAAAACCCTGGGGACCACAGCAGCCCTGGGGAAGGCCACGTAGCATTAGACAACCTCACGGAGACCATGGCCACGCTGCTCCCACCAGCTCCAAGAGGAGCTCTGGCCACTCTCCACATCCACGTCCCTCTTCTGTCCAGACTAAAGGCGGGTCGCTTGGACTGGAGTTTGAAAGCGTGCAAGTAACTGATCTTCCAGGGAGCCTCTGGAGAGCCTGTCCTGCTTAAGGGAGAGCACTTGACGATGAAATCTCATAGAAGTAAAGATCAGAATGCGATTGGTTTTGACTTTGCTGAGACAATTGTAAATATGTATTTAGAATGTTTTTAAATGTGCTCCTTAAGTGACCCTTCATTTGGTTCCAGGAAGCAGGTACCAGTTCTTAATGTAAGTTGTCCTTTGGGCACTTTATATTTTTCTAAAAGTCTGTTTTGGACCCAGTATGCCAATACATTGTAAGTTTCTCCTTAAAAATTGCCAAAACTTTTGTCCACTTTAAAGCAGCGTATTACATTAATCTGTAAACAGAGCCTTTACAGTATTTAAAAAATAATGTTAAATGTTTGGACATATTTTCATCCCTTTTTCCCCAAGTGAATACAAACATTTGAATTTTGAGATATAATTAATAAGTGATTAATTTCATCCACACTGTCAGCAAAGGTGACCTGCCAAATTTCACATCATGCCCACAACCTAGAAATGACATGAGTAAAATGTCTCACCTTTTCTGGCCTAAAAATGGCCCAAAAAATGTATTCTGTACTAAACTTTGTATAACACTGGAGAGTAAAAGTGGGATAACTTTGCATGTCTGATTTCACTGAAGGATTCATTTTTACAAGCCTGTGACTAATCATTCAGAATAAATGTTTGTAATGCAAAAATTTACAGCTTTTTAATTATCACATTGGGTGGGTGGGTGTCATAAAATAAGAGGTAGAAAGAGTGAGGCTTTGGTGTTGAGGCACATTTAGCTCACTGTAGAAACTTGGTCAGTGACTCGTGTTCAAAACAACCTCCCAGTCAGCCTCCCTCGAGGCAGCAGGCTGCTGCAGCAAGACTTCGCTGGGAGAAAGTTAATCTTGTTCTGATTAGTGTGTAAGTTGTAATTCGGTTTAGGTCTGTCTCCCTTGGCTGTGTGATTGGTTCTTTCTATCAGGTCTTCAAAGACAGAGACATGCTATTCAGAAATTATTGTTTAGCAATCATTGTTACATTTTGTGATGTCTTCGTAAATCTAAGTGTGTTTGTGGTGACAGGCACTTCCAATTCTGGATTGTCTCACTTTCACAGTATTAAATAAAATCGTGTCAGCATTTACAGGCTCTTCTCTTTATCTTCAGACCCTTTGATCCCTAACATTTTTTAAGTCATTACTATTCAAGGTGAATAAAGGTGGAAGGCGAAGCCCTGCCTTCTACATTTCTTAGATGCCTTTATTATGGCCGTAAGACAATATTTTGAAATTATTAAGATTGAGTGAACTCCTGATGTGAATTTCCTGTTTGTTCCTGTGTTTAAGAAGCAAGGGCGGGGCGGGGGGGGGGGATGGACACACTGAATGAAAAGCCCTCCCCACAAAAAAATGGTCCCCAACATGTTTCAATGTATTTTGCCTTATTTTTAGATGACTTTTTCCCTGGGCATTCTAATGCATCATCCAGCCAGTTTCTTCCCGGACAGTAGAATTTATCAAAACCGTTGTGGTGGGTGGGGGTGAAGGATATGGGGAGTTGGGTGAGTTCAGTGCTGAGGGTTGAGATCCTGAGAAGGAAAAGTGGTTATCTTTTTTGTAGCCATTAGTTTTGTATCCCTCCAGAGGAGATATGTAGAACCCCTCACCACTGACCAAGATGTTTAACAAAAAGATGTCAACGTTTAGCAAGAGTGGGTGGTTCTTCCTGTGTGAACTGCCTAGAGAGAGCCTCCCCCACCTCCTCTTCAGCTGGGAATGGTGCTGGGGAGTTGATGACAGATGTGGCAGTTGCATGGGAGGGAGGGGGAGGTGTACATGGTTAAAACCAATAGGTTTTTATAAAATAGCACTTTAAAAAATGGGGGAATGGAATGGAGAAGTAGCTGGTAGAGAAGAAATGAATCAAAAGAAGGACACCTAGGAGAAAAGGAAGGGAATTCTGCAGGTATTTAAGTCACTTCCATAGTATTTAATGTTCTCTTTCTTCCTTAAAGGGGAAGCTAGGTGGTACAGTAGATAGGGCACCCAAGCCTGGAGTCAGAAAGGCCTGAATTCAAATCTAGCCTCAGACACTTACTGGTGGCGTGACCCTGGGCAAGTACCTTAAGTCCTGTTTGCCTCAGTTCCTCATCTGTAAAAAGCATTGAAGAAGTAAATGACAAACCACTCCACTATCTTGGCCAAGAAAACCACACAGACTAATAAGTCCATGGGGTCATGTAGAGCCAGATATGACTAGATAATAGCGATCTTCCTTGAAATGATTCAAATTAATGGAAATTCTGTATTCAAATTGGCAAAAATAAATTTAAGAGTCCATATCATCTTCTGATGCAGGATATATTTCTTCTTAGACCCTAGGAGCTGGTGATTTTTCACCTCAGTCTTTAGATCTTTGAAATAATAATAATTAACATTTATGTCATATGTGTTAGAACTTACAGAGCATTTTCTCCCAACCCTGTGTTGGAAATAGTATCCCCACCTTACAGGTGAGGAAACAGACCTGGAAAGGTTGTGCCATGCCCTGTGTTGCCCAACTAATAGGTGTAAGAACCAAGATTCAAAACCTGGTCCTCTAGGATCAAACATAAATTAATTCCTATCTGACACACCCTTTCCTGCCTTTCCACTTCCTCTGTGGGGCTGCGTCACTGACCTGCTTCAGGAAAGTGGCGCTCATCTTCCACCTCCGTGACTTTGTACTCTTCCCCTCAGCCTTGGAATGCCCTCCCTCCTCACTTAGGTTTCGAGGACTCCCTGGTTTCTGTGACACTCAGTTCTATGCCCACCTTCCAGAGGACACTTTTTATCCCTCCCCTTCAGTTACTATTGCCTTGTCCTCCAATTTGAGACCTTTTTGATGTGTTAACTTTGCAATTTTAAAAAGAAATTTTATTCATTGTTAAAAGGGATGGTTCTCTGGGAGGGAAAGGGACATATAGGGAAATGCAGATGATGAAAAAACAAAAGACATCAATACATTTAAGAATAATTTTTTTAAAAAAAATCTCCCCCTAATAATTTTGGAAAGCACTGAATTTTTATCTCTTCTAATGTTTAAAAATAGCTTGACCTCTTATATTTAGGTCATGCATCCATTTTGAGCATGTATAGTATTACATAGCATAAGGTCTTGGTCTAAACTTCATTTGTACCAAACTGCATTCCAGCCGTCCCAGCAGTTCTGGTTAAAAAAAGAGCCCTTCCCCCAATAACTCATGTTTTTCTATTACTATTACTATTACTATTAAGTCCTGTTTGCCTCAGTTCTTCATCTGTAAAAAACATTGAAGAAGGAAATGACAAACCACTCCACTATCTTGGCCAAGAAAACCACACAGACCAATAAGTCCATGGGGTCATGTAGAGCCCATGGGATTACTATTTTTGACTTCTATTTCTTGCTCATTTAGCCTGCTCCTAGCCCCCATCTGCATTGACTTTTCTGTTGTTTAACCAATGCCAAGTAATTTTGATTACTGTTGCTTTATAATATATATTGTCATTCATATTTTTCTTATGATTTCCCTTTAAATACCTTTTTCCTTCAAATGAATTTTTTGTTGTTTTTTATCAATACTATAAAGTATTCCCTTGGAATTTGAATGTTATAGCACTAAATCTATTAATTTAGTTCATATAATTTTTTAAATTATTATTACTGACGCAACTCAGCCTTGGGCAGTGAATATCTTTCCAATATTTTGCTTCCTTTATTTCTTCAAAGAGCGCTTTCTGGTTTTTCTTGAATCTTGTATGTCTTAATATATTAATTCCCTGGTATTTTATGCATTTTTTAGTTATTTGAAATGATTTTTGTCTTACTCTTTCTTCTTGACTTTTGTTAGTATGGTTTTACCTAAAGCTGTTGTTTCCACTTCTTTGCCACTTCTCTGGGGTTTTCTAAGTATGCTGTGTCATGTATAAGCAGGATTATTTTGTTTCCTCTCTACCAATATTTATACCTTTGATCTTCTCCTCTTGCATTATTGCTATAGCTAACATTCCTAGAGCTAACTCATATAATATTGAGTAGAGGGGGCATCACCCTGTTTGAATTTAGACAGCTTCTGGTAGTCAGTGTTTCACCATTGCAAACAGTGTTACCTTTCAGTTTTAAGCATCTGCTTGCGGTCGTATTAAAGAAAGGTCTTCCATTCTTGTTCTTTTTATGGGGTCTTAATATAAATGAGGGCAGTTGGGTGGCACAGTGGATAGAGTGCCAGGCCTGGAGTCATCTCCCTGAGTTCAAATCTGGCTTCAGTCACTTACTAGCTTTGTGACCCTGGGCAAGTCACTTATTTACCTCAGTTTCCTCATCTGTCAAATGAGCTGGAGAAGATAATGGCAAACCACTCACAATATCTCTTCCAAGAAAACCCCAGATAGGGTCACGAAGAGTCAGACACAACTGAAAACGATTGAACAGTAACACCATAAATGAGAGCTGCATTTTGTCAAAAGCATTTTCTTCATCTACTGAAATGATCATATGCATTTGTTATAGTGGTTGTTTATATGATTAATTATGATCATTGTCCAAATGCCAAATTTATGTCCCTGGCATGAATCTAATCTGGTCATAGTAAATTATTTTCGGGATATATTTTTATGGGTTCCTAGTGAGGACTTAAAGACAAAATTTACATTAATATTCATTAGTGACCTTGGTCAATACCTCTCTCTGCTTTTTTTCTCCCTTGTGGAGGTAACAGGACCATATGTGTCTCATAAAAGGAATTTGGTAGACTGTATCTCCCTTTGGGGTAATAATTTTTTAAAACATAGGTATTAATTGCTCTTTAAATTTTGATAGAATTCACTTGTAAATCTATCTGAACTGGTGATTTTTTTCCCCCCACTTTGGCTTGTTCAATTTGCTTTTCTGAGAATGGGCTGCTTAATTTCTCCATCTTGGCTTTTTGGTTTTTGGGTTTTTCTTCAGATGAAGTATTTTTTTTTATAGATATTCATCAGTTTCCTTTGCTTTCTGATTTTTTCTGGTGAGTAATTATGTATAGTAGTTCCTGATAACTTATTTCCTCTGTGTTCAAAGTTCACTTCATTCATTTTTTATTTTGGTAATTTAATTTTCCCTCTCTCTTTTCCTTAATCAGGTTAGCTAATGGTTTATTGATTTTGTCAGTCCTCAAAAACCCCAGCTCTTAGGTTTGTTTATCAGTTCTGTAATCACTTTAGTTTCTAGTTCCTCAGAGTCTCCTCTGATTTCCAAACTGCCTTCATTTGTACTTATTTTAAGATTGCTAATATGATTATTTTCTGATTTTCTAATTGCATGCTCAGTTTATTAGTTCTGTGTTTCTGTGTTGTTAACATAAGTCTTCTTAGATATCAGTTTCACCTTGAAGACTGCTTCAGCTGTGTCCCCAAAGTTTTGGTATATTGTTTCATTTCTATCATTCTTTTAACATAATTATTTATCATTTCTATCACTTGTTTTTTGACTTGGTCATTATTCAGAATGTTGTTATTTATCCTCAAGTGAGGCCTATGTCTTTTGCTTATAGGTCCTTTATTACTAAGTACATTACATCATAGTCTATAAAGGATGCCGTTATTATATCTGGCTTTTAGACTAACTTTTTAACTGACTTTAAGGTTTGCAAAGCACTTTACGTATTATCTCATTTGATCCTCACAGCAACCCTGTAAAGTAAGTGCTATTATTATATATCTATAAAATAGATGAGGAAACTGAGGCTGAGAGACTGACTTGCCTCAGGTCATACTAGCTAGTAAGTGTCTAAGGGGTGATCTGAACTCTGGTCTTCCTGACTGCAAATCCAACATCCTGTCTCCTGTATCACCTAGCTATCATTTGATCATGACTCCTTTATGCCTTGGCACATTTGTGTAAAGAGATTGTAGGATGCTGGTATGCTTGCTATGTCTACCTCCCATTCCTTCCTCGGTGATCTGCCTCTCAATATTATACCCCAGAGGCAGGGGAAGACATTGAAAGCTTTTCATCTCCTGCTCTTTTCAAGTCCTGACCAGTCATTAACCACCTCCATATCTCACCCTCTCCTGTCCTCATCTGGAAGGTGCTACTTTATTGTATCCTGCCACTTATAATATTGCCTTATTAATAAGGGGATAGGA